CCTTTCTTCCCTTCCCCCCCTCCCCCCCCCACTTCAAATTCACCAGCACTAGCAGCCAGCACCACCCACCACCTTGCACCATCACTCCCCACCACCTCCCACCACGCATCACCGTTCTCTCACCTGCTTCTTTCAACAGTTGATCCATCGGATCATCCATCTCCCCCTTCCCGCCCTTCTTCCCTTCCCCCCCTCCCCCTCCTCCTGACCCGAAACCACCTCCCCCAAATCCGCCCGCCCCTCCGCGCCCTCCCCCATCCTCCTGCTGCTGCTGCCGCGCCTGCAGCGCCTGGGAGGTGCGCTGCGCAGCTGCTGGGTCCAACTGGGGGGGGGGAGGGTGGGGGGCGAGGAAAAGAGGGGAATGGGGCAAGGGAGGCAGAGTGGGGGGATGTGGGTCTTGTATGCTGTTCCTGCTCCTGCTGCTGCTCCTGCTGCTGCTCCTGCTGCTGCTGCCGCGCCTGGGAGGTGCGCTGCGCTGCTGCTGGGTCCAACTGGGGGGGAGGAGGGAAGATGAGGGAGGAAAAGGGGAGTGGAGTGGGGAGGGAAAGGAGGAAAAGGGGGAAATGAGCCGCTTTGGAAAGCCTGCAGCGCCTGCGAGGTGTAGGAAAGGGAGGGGGGGTGAACGTTCACCCCTGCTGCTGCAGCGCCTGCGAGTTGGACCGCGCTGCTGCAGGGTTCAACTAGGAAAGGGAGAGGGGGGTGGGGGGGGTAAGGGGAGGGAGGGAGGGAATGTGAATCTGGCTTCGAAAGCAAGCGAGAGGGTCAGCCTCCCCCCCTGCTCCCGCCGCTCCCCCACCTAAGAATCTTCCATGCAAGCACGCCAGAGCGGGTGAACATTCACCCCTGCTGCTGCAGCGCCTGGGAGGTGCGCGGCGCTGCTGCTGGGTCGAACTGAGGAGAGGAAAGGGGAAGGGGGGGGAGGGAGGAGAGGGGTGGGGAGGCGTAGTTGAGGGGTGGGGAGAGGGGAAGGTGAGGGGCGGAGGGAGGGGAGTGGGCGAGGGAAGGAAGCGGGAGGAGGTCGAGGCACGGGGGAGAGGAAAAGGGGGGTGATAGTGCTGCGAGAGGTGGGCTGACAGGCAAGGGGAGGGGCGGAAGGGAAAGGGGAGAAGCATGCAACTTGAGCATAATTACTTCAACAAATGACTGGCATCTCACTTTAGCAAGGGACAATTCGCCTTAGCCCATGGACACCCCGCCCCAGAGTCTTGGCGCTGCTCCGACAGCTGTTTCAGGATTTGGGCTCCAAATTTAGAGTTGAGGGTTCAAGCTTTGAGGTTTAGGGCGAGATTCAGGGTTTAAGGTCACATCTCATTGCCTTGCGTTGCCGCACCTTGGAACCTAGGCTCGGGAGGGAGGATTGGAGGAGACACACCGGGTGGAAGCAGGGGAAGAACCAGAGGGGATGCTTGCTTAAGCTCCCTCTGCTTAAGCTCCCTCTGCTTAAGCTCCCTTTACCTCACCTTGATTCTCTTCGCCTCACATCAACTCCCTTTGCGGCTTTGCCTCATCTTGAAACGCTTCGTCTCACCTTGAGCCTCTTGGCTTTCTTCGACTGCTCCTTAGCTGCCCGCTTCGCGTCCCCTGTAGTCTTGCCCGCTTATTTTGACTCTCTTCCCCTTCACCTCAACCCCCCTCGTCTCACCTTGAGCCTCTTGGCTTTCTTCGACTGCTCCTTAGCTGCCCGTTTCGCCTCCGCCTTGCCGCCCTCCACCTTCTCATACTTCTGTACTCGGTAAAGGGTGGACGCGGTAAAGAACGGACGGGAACGACCGGGAGATTGTGATTCGAATAAACGCGCGATTGGCATGCACGCACGCAAAGCTTGCTGGGGTATCTCCGGACAGACATAGTACGCGGTATAAGTGCTTCTGTGACAGTAACAAACGGGTAAGGACGACGGGGTGTGTCTGTAACGCGTGCTAATGACGCGTATCAGCGCAACAGAATCGGCTTAAAACGCGTACCAGGGCGACAGAGTCAGCTTGCGACGGGAGGTAATGCCGCAACGGTATTAAGTCCACGAGATGGTCGAAGACTGAAAGAAGGGTTTCAGGGAGAGAGGGACGGATGTTTCGGATACAAGGGACGGAGGTTTCGGGGGGGCGGAGGAAAGGAGAAAAAATAGGGAAGAGGTAGTGGCGCAGCGGTATTAGGTCCAAGAGATGATCAAAGACTGAAAGAAGGTTTTCAGGGTGAAAGGAACGGGGGAAATGGACGGGGGAAATGATAAAAAGGGCACGAGACGTGAGTACTTTAGAAGAGCAAGAAAAAAATGTATTGATGTTAGAGATAATGCTGTTCGTTCAAATCGGCGCACTGACATTGGCTGTCTTCCGCGACACGCCGTTTTGTTGTCCCGCCCGGCTCGATCCGAGCGATGGCACCCATGCTCCGCTCTATAACGAGTCACCAAAGCAGTCGCCCAAAACACATCTATAACGAGTCACCAATCTAGTCAATATTCGTCTCTCAGAAGTCTCGTCCTTGCTTTATTGACCCGAAAAAGCAAGCATCCGTCCACTAGCGACAAACCCTGCTAAAACCCGGATTCCTCCTAGCAGGAAATACGTCCTTAAACGATGACAAAGGGAGAATCAAGGAAAAGGTAGTGGATACAACCAGCGACACACTACAGGCTAACTAAGAGCCCCAGGCAAAGGAGGAGCCTGATAGACTGCTAATGGTGGGTCTAGCTTGAACGACTCTGCTGGTTGTGCTTTGGGTTGCAGTTGCGAAGGGCGTGTTACCTCGGACGTTCTAAGGGGCTTGTTCGAACAAGCGCCGTACTAAACCAGTCTGTTGTTTATTTAAAATGTACTGTACCACAGCCAACCCCCAGAAAATCGAAATTCGAACAGCTGGTTACCACCCGAGGTGACCTGCCCTAAAGCCGTTGGCCCAAATTGCACAAGTTGTAAAAAGTTGACGCGAGGGGGTTTTCCTGGTTTGGGGTTTGGCGAGTGATTCCGATTTCGTTTTCTTCGTTTTTTTCGCCAAACCCAGCCTGCCCTCGTATTTCACCCTGGGGGTTGGATCAGTCTCCGAAAGTCCCAAATTGCAGGTGGATTAGTTTTCAAAGCTTGCACACCCAAATTCGTCAAGTTTTAAAAGCTTGACCCTTGCGCTCCGCAATTTGGGCCGCGGGCTCTAAGCACAGGTCCAGCAGCGTGCTCGTTTACAGTTCATCCATCGTGGCGCAAGAAGGTTCCAGACGGTGCATAACGGTTCTCAAGATTCGCCGTTTTGCACCGTGACGTAACAAGAGTAACCGCACAGAATGAACGAAGGACGAACATGCTGGACCCGCCCTTGCCTCTGGCACATTGACTCCGATATTGTACATAGTAGCAGTTGCAAGTAGCTAAATATTTTTAGTCACTATGCAAACTTTGTGAAATTTGTTTGGACATCTTAGATAAAGTGAGTTTTTCAAATACGCCTACCTATTAAGATTTAATTTCCTGATTTCTAGATAATGAATTCATAATGATTCTGTTTATTATGATGTAACACCTTGGTTTGGGAAACAATGATTCATATTTTATCCTGTGTTCCATTACATGTATCAATGTGCCAAACGCGTACGTTTTGCCATGGTGGTAAAAACCAAGCCAATTTCGGAAGTTTTGATTGCTGGCAATTTGACACAATTCCCTGCGATTACGAAGTTCTATTTTATTTCAGCTAACTGACATAATCCACCACCAGGCTGACTGCGACTGTCTAGCCGATTACCTTTAACAGACGCGGATACCTCAGAAACTGACGTGCCGAGGGATCGCCATTCAATGGCTGACGCAGAGACCTCCGAGACTGACGTTGCAAAGAATCGGCAGCTGATAGAAGCGTCGCGCGAGGGCGATTTAGCCGCAGTCATGCGACTGATCAAGTGAGGCTTGTCAAATGGTAACTCTGTAACCCGACCATAATCTCTAGGCGGCATGACCGCGATTCAAATACGTGTTCCCTGGGCTTCTCTGTTCGCTACAGGAACAAATCCCCGAACCTGAAACCCTCAACCCTGTCTTGGCCAACTCCAGTACAGATCACTTCTCCCCATTCCGATTACACTAAGCACTCACAATACCCTTTCTCACGTTTCCTCAACAATTCCCCTTCTCTTCCCCACCTTCACCCACCCCTCCCCAAACCCCCTTCCCCGTCCCCCCCGCCACCCCCCACCCCTCCCCTTCCCCCGGGCCCATTCCCCCCTGTTGCTCCCTTTTGCGCCCTCCAACCCCTCAGAGAAGGCGCTGACGTGGCGTATGCTGACGTGGACGCGCAGGGGAGGACGGCGCTGATGGCGGCGGCAGAAGGGGGGAGGGCGGAGGTGGTGCGGGCGCTACTGGGGGAGGGGGCGGTGTGGAACGCGGTGGATATGGGGGGAAAGAGCGCTGGGGACTATGCAATGGAGGGGGTGGTGGCGTGGGGGGAGGGGGAAGGGGAAGAGGGGGAGGATGAAAGTAAAAAAGAAGAGAAAGCGAGACGACAAGAGGTGTTAGATACTCTGATTGATGCTGGTACGGCTGTAGTGTGTGGAGTCGGAAAAGGGGGAGATGAGCATGGGGAGGGGGGAGAGAAAAAGGTAATTTGGGGAAAGGGAGGGAGGAAGCAGTGTGGGCGCTGCTGGGCGAAGGGGGGTAAATGGCATAGGGTGAACATGGAGTAGGGCGGGGAGAGGGTGGGTGGGATGAGAGGCATGCATCTTGCTTTTCCTTTCCTTTCCTTTCCATTTCCTTCCCTTCGCTTTCCTTCCGTTCCCTTCCTGTTCCTTTCCTTTCTGTTCCTTCCTCCCTTTACCCCATCTCTTACATGTCGTTCTCTCACCCCTCGTACAGAAAACCCATTCCTTCCCTTTCCTTTCCTTCCCTTTCCTTCCTTCCCTTCCCTTCCCTTCCCTTCCCTTCCCTTCCCTTCCCTTCCCTTCCCGTTCCTTTCCTTTCTGTTTCGTCTCCCCTTCACCCCATTTCCTACACATCGTTCCCTCGCTCCTCATACAGGCATCAAAGCAGAGCTCATTCTGGGCGCAGCCAGTAGGAACCTGACACGTGGCAGCACAGCAGCAGGAGCAGCGGAGCAGTTAGCACCTGCCCCAAATGCCGCCTACCTGTCGGAGCGGTTGCAGCTGTCTGAAAGCCGATTGGTGGACGGGGAGGGAGGGGGAGTGATGATGAAGTGGGAGGGGGCGCTCATGCAAGCACACGCGCAAGCCATCTGCCAACAGGTGGGTACGGGGCTGTGCTGTGTGGTGCTGTGCGGTGCCAGGTGTTTTAGATCGTATGTTCTACAGGCTGGAGTAGAGTCAGTTCGACTGGTGGATGGGGAGGGGGGTGGTGTGATGATGAAGTGGGAGGGGGCGCTCATGCAAGCACACGCGTAAGCCATCTGCCAACAGATGGGTACTGTGCCGTGCTGTGTTGTGTGTGTGTGTGTGTGTGTGTGTGTGTGTGTGTGTGTGTGTGTGTGTGTGTGTGTGTGTGTGCGTGTGTGTGTGTGTGTGTGTGTGTGTGTACGTGTGTGAGTGTGAGTGTGAGTGTATCATGCTCAAACCCAGCTTCAAATGGGCTGAATGATAATGTGGTGGGTGGAGGCGCTTCCATGCAGGAGCACACGCAAGCCATCTGCCAACAGGTGCGTACGGTGCTGTGTTGTGCTGTGCGGTGTTAACTTGTGCTGTTTACTCTAGTTGACTCGCGAATTCGGTCGGTGTGTGTGCTACAGGCTGGAGAAGGGTTGAATGGTCGAGGGGAGGGAGAGGGCGTGATGATGTGGTGGGAGGGGGCACTCATGCGAGTGCACACCCAAGCCATCTGTCAGCAGGGGGGCATTGTGTCGTGCTGTGTTGTGTTGTGTTGTGTTGTGTTGTGTTGTGCTGTGTCGTGCTGTGTTGTGTTGTGTTGTGTTGTGTTGTGCCGTGTTGTGTTGTGTTGTGTTGTGTTGTGTTGTGTTGTGTTGTGTTGTGTTGTGTTGTGTTGTGTTGTGTTGTGTTTTTTTGTGTCATGTTGTGCTGTACGTGTTGTGCTGTGTCTCCCTCCCTCTCCCACTCCAGAAAGGGGATATTCTCAACATTGGCTTTGGCATGGGTTTGATAGGCACAGCTAGGGATGAGCAAGGGGCGAACACGAACACATCCGTTTGCCGAACCGAACACTGTTCGGTTCGGCGAACACTTTAAGCAAAAACAGGTGTTCGCCGTTCGCCTGTGAAGGCGTGTTCGGGCGAACCTCGAACACGTTCATGTTCGTCGCGGGGCAAATTGCAGCAGCGGCCCGAACACGAACGTGTTCGGGCGAACCTCGAACACTGTTTGGCGAACACTGTTTGGCGAACACTGTTTGGCGAACACTGTTTGGCGAACACTGTTTGACGAACACTGTTTGACGAACACTGTTTGACGAACACTTTAAGCAAAAAAAAACAGACCTGTTCGGTTCGCCTCGAACATTGCCCTTGTGCTCATGTCTAGGCACAGCCATTGCAGCTCGCATCGGCGAATTCTCTCCCACCTTCCCACCATCAGCATGGCCCCTTGCTCTCTCTGTCCTCTCTTCCTCCCTGCTTTTCCTTCTCTCCAGGGAGGGGATGTTCTCAACATTGGGTTTGGCATGGGACTAATCGACACAGCCACTGTGGCTGCCACTGCTGTTACAAACCGCCGTGCGGCTCTCTCAAACTCTTCCAACCGCTCCCAACCTCTCTGCTTTCTTCTCCCTCCGTCTCTCTCTCTCCAGGGAGGGGACATTCTCAATATTGGCTTTGGCATGGGTATAATAGACACCGCCATTGCAGCTCGCATTGGCCAATCGGAGGGCGGCATTCGATCGCACACTATAGTGGAAGCGCATCCGGACGTTATAGCGAGGATGAAGGGGGAGGGGTGGCATGAGAAGGAGGGAGTGAGGGTGGTGGAGGGGAGATGGCAGGACGTGTTGCCACAACTGGGCCAATACGATGGTGAGAATTCCGGGTACATCTGGTGATACCCCTGCTACAGTGGTGTGTTTGATGCTGTTGCTTCTGGGACATTACAGTGGTCGGAGTGGGATGGCATGAGAGGGAAGAGTGAGGGAAGGGAGATGGCAGGACGTGTACCACAACTAGAGCCATATGCTGGTGGCGTGTTACCAGTTGTACCAGCATATAGCCCTAGATGGTGCAACAGCTAGGGTACAACTGGTATTATCTCTGTTGCAGATTGTGCATTCGGTGGCGGCAGTGTAGCGTTGTTGCACTATGGTGGTAACGCTACTGGTTCTGTTGCTGCTGCTGTGGCAAGTGGGCGGAGGGAGGGATGATGAGGGGGTTAGCATGAGCAGGAGGCAGATGGCGCGGGACGTGTTACCACAACTAGGGCAATACGACGGTGAGTTCTAATCCGGGTATTCCTACGGGGAGTATTACGACAATCTTCACGACTTCCACTCGCACCTCCCACGCCTCCTCAAACCAACTGTGCGCGTTCCACTCCCACCCACCCCACCTTCCCTGTCCACTGTTCATCTGCTTCCTTACCCTCTTTTCTCTCTCCGTTTTTTAAGGCGCCTCAAAAATCGTCTTTTGAGGCACCTCAAAAACCACCTTCCCTGTCCACTGTTCATCTGCTTCCTTACCCTCCTTTCTCTCTCCGTGCACGCGTATTCGTTGAACCCACAGATTGCTGCCCACCTGCTTGCTGTGTGCTTGTCCGCCAAACCTTCTTATCTCCTCCGCACGGTCCACCCCACCGATGACGTCCTAGAGGCATTCAATGACTGAGATGACCATCTTCTCGATACCCTCATTTCCCTCTTCCCTCTTGACACACATGGGACCTTGACACGGCAGAGGGACAGCTAGCCCGCTCACAGGCCTTCTTACCGATTCGCTTAGGAGGTCTTGGGATTCAGAGTGCACGCAGGCACGCGTCGCTTAGCTATGTCCGCAGCTGGGCTCAAGCCATACCAGTCCTAGCCAACAACTGCAGCATACCGTTTCCTTCACCCTTTCATTGCCAAAGACGTGCTTGACCCCTTAGACCCACAGATTTCACGTGCTTTGGCTGCCCTGCCTGACGTCCTGCGTCACTTAGTCCCTCCCTGGTCCGCTTTCCTTGCTGGTTACCCGAACAGACTCTTTTCTGCCTTAGCTCAGCACATCTCCGCACGTGCAGCAGAGCAGTTGCGTGCAGTCGCTACCCAGCAGCACCACCAGCTGGTCCGTTTAACCTCCCTTCAGGACCCATCTGCTGGGGCTTGGCTCGCGGCTGTCCCCTCCGCTCCCCGCGCGCAGCTCGAGCCTGCAGATTGGTTCATTGCAGGTTCCTCCCTGTCCCCCACCTCTGTCTCCTAGTATCAGCCCCGCCATGTTCCTGCAGGGCAGCGAAGCGCGTGGCTAGGAAGAGTGGGGTCAGTGTAGGTGTGGCTGCAGGAACATGGCGGGGCTGATTCTAGGAGACGGAGGTCGGGGACAGGGAGGCCTAGGCGGATTTTTGCTACAATCTGCAGGTTCGAGCTGAGCGCGGAGACCGGAGGGGACAGCCGTGAGCCAAGCGCCAACAGATGGGTCCTGAAGGGAGGTTAAATGGACCAGCTGGTGGTGCTGCTGGGTAGCGGCTGCACGCAACTGCTCTGCTGCATGTGCGGAGATGCGCTGAGCTAAAGCGAAAAAGAGTCTGTTCGGGTAACCAGCAAGGAAAGCGGACTAGGGAGGGACGGTGACGCAGGTCGTCAGGCAGAGCAGCCAAAGCACGTGAAATCTGTGGGTCTAAGGGGTCAAGCACGTCGCTGGCAATGAAAGGGTGAAGGAAACGGTCTTCTGAACCCCACCATACCGCACTGCACCGCACCATCTTCCACACCGTCTAGTCTACTGCCACATAGTCGCCCTGGAGCTGCAGCAGCACGTGGGGTCTTCTGAACACTCAGTTCATCCCTCTGTCCCTCCCATCCCACCAAAGAAGGCATATTCTTTGACACATATGGAGAATACTATGACGATCTGCGAGAATTCCACTCCCACCTCCCGCGCCTCCTCAAGCCCAGCGGCCTCTACTCGTTCTTCAACGGCATGTGTGGCGACAACGCTTTCTTCCACACCGTCTACTGCCACATAGTGCTGCCTTTCTTTCCTGTCCCTGCCCCTCCCTCCTTTCAACACAGGCATATTCTTTGACACCTATGGAGAATACTACGACGACCTTCGCGAATTCCACTCCCACCTGCCTCACCTCCTCAAGCCCAGCGGGCTCTACTCCTTCTTCAACGGCATGTGTGGCGACAACGCCTTCTTCCACACCGTCTACTGCCACATAGTCGCCCTGGAGCTGCAGCAGCACGTGGGGCTGACCACTCAGTTCATCCCTCTGCCGGTGAGCCGGTGCTTGGATGGGGACACGTGGGCAGGGGTGCGGCATAAGTACTGGCAGCTGGATGCTTATCACCTGCCTGTTTGCTACCGTGATGAGGCAGAGGAGGGGGAGGAGGGAGTAGAGGAAGGGCAGGGAGAGGGAGAGAAGAAAGGGGGAGGAAAACAGGGTGAAGGAGTGTGGTAGAGTAGCAGGTGCTGCCACATTGTCGCCTTGGAGCTGCAGCAGCACGTGGGGCTGACCACTCAGTTCATCCCTCTCCCGGTCAGCCGGTGCTTGGATGGGGACACGTGGGCGGGGGTGCGGCACAAGTACTGGTAGCTGGACGCCTATCACCTGCCTGTTTGCTGCCGTGATGAGACAGAGGGAGAGGAAGGGGAGGAGGGAGAGGAGGGGTAGGAATGGGGGGAATAAAGGCTACAGCTGTAAAGGAGGCCAGGGGTGCGGCATAGGTACTGGCAGCTGGATGCTTACCACCTGCCTGTTTGCTACCGTGATGAGACAGAGGAGAGAGCGGAGGGGGAGGAGGGAGAGGAGGTAGAGGAAGAGAAGGAAGTGGAAGGAAAAGAGGGTGAAGGAGTGCAATAGAGTAGCAGGTGCTGCCACATAGCCGCCCTGGATCTGCAGCAGCACGTGGGGCTGACCACTCAGTTCATCCCTCTGCCAGTGAGCCGGTGCCTGGATGGGGACACATGGGCGGGGGTGCGGCATAAGTACTGGCAGCTCGATGCTTATCACCTGCCGGTTTGCTACCGTGATGAGACAGAGGAGGGGGAGGAGGAGAAGGAAAAAGAGGAGGGAGAGGAGGGGGAGGAGGCATAGGTACGTGGGCGGGGGTGCGGCATAAGTACTGGCAGCTGGATGCCTATCACCTGCCCGTTTGCTACCGTGCAGAGGAAGTGGAAGGGGAGAAGGGGGAATGAAGGGTGGGGAAGTGCAGTAGGGGAGGGCGGGGGTGCGGCACAGGTACTGGCAGCTCGATGCTTACCAGCTGCCTGTTTGCTACCACGATGAGACAGAGGAGGGGGAGGAGGGGGAAAAGGGAGAGGAGGGGTAGGAGTGGGGGGAATAAAGGCTACAGCTGTAAAGGAGGCCAGGGGTGCGGCATAGGTACTGGCAGCTGGATGCTTACCACCTGCCTGTTTTGCTACCGTGGTGAGGGAGAGGAGGGTGAAGTGGGGGAGGGGGAGGAGGAAAGGGAGGGAAGAGAGGGTGTGGAAATTCAGTAGAGCACCAAGTACTGGCAGCTGGATGCTTATCACCTGGCTGTTAGCTACCGCACCGAGACTGAGGAGGGAGCGGACGGGGAGAAGGAAGGGGAGGCAAAGGCTAGAGAGGAGGGAGTGAAAGAGGGAATAAAGGGCGGGAGATGTGCAATAGAGCAACAGCAATGTCATTTTCCACAAAGGCTTACACCTCTAAATGCGTAGGTGCGTACAATTCGGCACTTAGTAAGGTGGCTGGCGTTGAATTAAATTGGATTTGCAATGCTTTTACAAAGTAGGGAAATAGTACTCAAAATATCAAAGTTTAAAAACAAATCGTTAAAAACAAGAGCATTTGGCCGAGTGGTTAAGGCGTGTGCCTGCTAAGTACATGGGCTTTGCCCGCGAGAGTTCGAATCTCTCAGTGCTCGAAGTGTTGTGTAAGTGGTTTCCTTTTGGCTCCGGATGGAGTAAGCCTCGTATTTTTTTACTAAATGTATGCTTTTGGCATCTGTCACCTGGTTTGGGAACACCGGAAAATCCGCTTCGTTTCTCCTGGACCCATCATTCGCCGCATTCCTCCTCGCATTCGCCTTCTCGTGCTCGATGCCGTGCTCGATGCCGTGCTCGATGCCGTGCTCGATGCCGTGCTCGATGCCTTGCGTATCCCCCTTCGACGGCTGGCGCAACAGCCATCTGGCACTGCCGCTCACCTTATCTTGCTTGCTTTCCCTCGCCTCGTCCTCCGCTTGACTGCCGCTGCACCCTCTCAATCGCTTACTGCTGCATGCGCCCTTCTTGCTCAACGCTTCATCAGTGGTGACTGGCATGCTCTCTTCCTTGAAGCCTCTGCCGCTGTTACTCCCGCTGCCCGCCCTCTTTCCCTAGCTTCAGCCCGCTCTACAGCCACCCAAGTGCGGTTGAGCCCTCTAGAGTGTAGAGCCCTCTGTAGAGCAAGAGTGCGGGCAACGGGAGTAGAGTGCCCGCCCTCTTTCCCTAGCTTCAGCCCGCTCTACAGCCACCCTCTCAATCGCTTACAGCCATCCCTCTGCCCGCACTGGTCCCGCTCACTGGGGGCACTTGAAGCTGGTGAACTCGCTCCTCCTTCGCCTGAGACAATTTCATCACTCTCCTCCAAGCATCCGCCTTCATCAGAACCCCTCCCCCAATGGATTTCCACCTTCAACCCAGAAATCTTACCCACAGCTTTCTCCCCCACTCCTCCACTTAGCTCTTCGATCGGCCCCACGGGGAACCGCTGCTGGCCCTTCGGGTTGGTTGATCGAGCATCTCAGGGACACATTCCATACTTCTCAACAGCACCTTCCCTCCCTCCTCTGCCTCTTCCAAAACTGGTTGCAGGGCGACCTTCCACCCTCAGTCCGTTCATACTACACTGCATCCACCCTTGTAGCCCTCAAGAAGCCGCAGGGTGGGGTCCGGCCGATCGCTATAGGGGAAGTTCTCCCTCGCCTTCTTTCCCACTGCATCACCCTAATGTTCAAGCAGCAGCTGCGAGATAATTTCCTCCCCTGCCTCCAATTCGGGGTGGCGGTTCCTGCCGGAATAGAAGTGATGGCGCATGCTGTACAGTCCGCCCTTTCTCTTCATCCTGACTGGGCGGTGCTTCAACTCGACGTAGCAAACGCCTTCAACTCCTTCAACAGGACTACCATGATCGAGGCCCTCCGCTCCTCAGCTTTCTCTCCTCTCATCCCCTAATTCCGCCTCTTCTACTCCTCCCCCTCTCCCCTTCACTACCGCAACGGCCCAACCCTCCATACATTCGAGTCTGCCTGGGGCGTGCGTCAGGGGGACCCCTGCGGTCCCTTTCTTTATGCCCTCACCCAGCAGCTTGCCATTCTTCCCACCCAGAACCGGTTCCCATCCCTCTTCATCTCATATTACGTTGACGACACCTTCATCGTCGGCCCTCCCTCAACAGTTACCACTGCCTTTGCTGCACTGACCGACCGCCTCCATTCCTTGGGTCTCACAGTCCAACCCTCGAAATGCTCTATCTGGTGCCCTCTGTGAAGAAATCAACTGGAATGAATGAACTAGGAAAGTGTGAGATACAAATATGAAACCTATACCCCTTAGTGTCTACCCCACTACAGCCTACAGAGGCTAAGTCATAGATATCTGACACACCCCCATAGACAAAGTGGGGGAGAACTAGGGGTCACAAGACCAGTCAAGCAAAGCAAAGCAAAGCAAGCTCAGGGTGGATCACAACGTCACCACACATTCCGAGCACAGGTTCAAAGGCCACAAGGCCAGTTCACATGCAAGTTCATATATAAAGGTAAACAAGCAAGTGCAGGTATATATAGATCACAGTACAAGGAAAGTCAAGAGGTAAGCAAGTGAGGCCAAGTAGGCACAAGACCTAGCATAGTACAGAAGCGCTGATGATCACAAGGCTGAAGCGCCTTGGTGAAGATATCAGCAGTGTTGGCCTGAGAGGCCACGTAAGCAAGGCGCAGCTGACCACGCTGCTGCAGCTCACGAGCAAGGAAGTAGCGAAGAGCAATGTGCTTCGTTCTGTGCTCCAGTCTGTGCTCCCGACACAAGGCCAGCATGGCCTTGTTGTCTACGTACAGAACTGGAGGAGAACGAGGCGGCTCTCCCAGGTCAGTCAGCAGGTAGGTGAGCCAGCGTAACTCCTGTGCAGCCATGGCCCCTGCGTAGATCTCAGCCTCACAGCTGGAGCTGAGAACAGAAGACGAGCGAGTAGACCGCCACGAAACAGAGCCGGAACCAAGGCTGAAGGTGTAACCCTGTGACGACCGCTGCGTAGCCAGGTCGTCAACCCAAGACGCGTCTGCGTGACCAGTGAGGACCACTGGACTCCGCCCTCCAAGCACTAGCCCCAAGCCCGAAGTACTGCACAAGTAGCGCAACACCCTCTTCGCTGCAGCCATGTGCTCTGGTCGGTGTCTCCAAGGAGCAACATAGCGTGCCAAGATGCTCAGAGGGTATGCTAGGTCAGGTCGAGTGCAGGTCATCAGGTACATGAGGCAGCCAACAAGCTCTGGGTACGGGCCACTCGGCTCTACGGACTCATCCGAAGGCAGAGCTGAGAGCGAGTGGCGAGTAGACAGAGGAGTGGCCTGAGGCGAGGAGTACGTGAAGTCGAAGCGCTGAAGGACCTGCTGCACCATGTGTGACTGAGTCAGGGTAATGGTGCGCCGTGCTCTGTCCCGGGTGATCTGCAAGCCAAGATAGCTGCGCAGTTCACCCAGGTCTGTGCACGTGTGTCTCTTCTGTAGCTCGGACTTCACGTGGGCGAGTCCAGCAGTGTCACCTGTAGCAAACACCAAGTCGTCGACGTACACGAGGATGTAGAACGGCGGCAGCAAAGTGTCGGTGCGAAGAAACAGCGACGAGTCAGCAGTGGAAGGAGCAAACCCAAGAGCCGCTAGCGTAGTCCTCATTGTGTCGTGCCACTCACGGGGCGCCTGGCGGAGACCGTAGACTGGCCGCCGGAGGCTCCACTGGGTACCAGGAGGAAACGACCCAGTGAAGCCAGGTGGGCGGCGCAGCCAGATCTCCTCGTGCAGACTGCCCTGTAGGAAAGAAGTGCTGAAGTCAAGGGAGTGAAGCTCGTAGTCACGCTGAGCAGCAACGTGCAGCAGAACCCGAAGAGTGGTCATCTTCGGGATCGGGGAGAAGGTCTGAAAGTAGTCAACTCCCTGCCGCTGACTGAAGCCTCGAGCCACGTAACGCGCCTTGAAGACAGGCGGAGAACCCGGCGGCCGCTTCACCCTGAAAATCCACATGCCACTGACGATGTTCGCCCCAGGTGGGGGAACCTCGTCGACGTAGGTGCCTGTGGACTTCCAGGAAGCCATCTCTGCATCCATGGCTGCCTGCCACTGAGAGGAGTAAGGACCCTCTATCGCCTCTGCGTAAGAGCGCGGGGTCGGGATGTCTGGTGCATCCGGGTCTCCCTCAGGGGCAAGCAGCGTGGACACGAGATGAGGTAAAGCAGCAGCAAAACACTGGAACTCCTCCTGTCGGTCCTCAAGGACGTCCGTGCTAAGAGCACACTCACCCCCGAAGGACGGAGGACAGACAGACGCAGACTCAGCAACAAGACTGGCAGCGTAGTCTAGATGACAGTGCGCAGCGAAGTCGACAAGCTCGGCAACTAAGGCAGACGCAGCAGTGGACTCAAAGGAAGGGTCAGTGACAACTGTGGCCAGGAAACGCGTGACAGTAGGACTGGCAGCACGAAGGGAGTCAGACGCCGGGTCAGCAAGAGCAGGAAGAGAGGACTCTGGAGGAGACGGCAAAGGGACACGCTGTGGCGCAGTGGAAGGACGCAGTGCCATCTGATGCGTGCCCGGGACTGCAGGAGGATGCGGACGTGGAACACGACGACTAGTGCGAGCAGTGCGAACAGGCGACGCAGGACGCGACTCAGGCTCACGACGCTCAGCAAGACCTCCAGTAGGACCAGCGTAGGGAGAAGGAGCAGGTAGAGGGGAGGCCAGCTGTAACTGTGACTCGGACTGGACAGGCGGTGGACACACTAAGGAAGGAGCAGGACTAGAAGAAGGCGGAAGACCAAGAACCTGCTCAAGGAGCGGAACGAAGTACGGCCGCAGCCGCGCAGCGGCTCCAGAACCAGCAGGGGCAACACCAGCACCCCCAGCGTCAGCTCCAGCTCTCTTCCTCTCCTTCACCAGCTTCACGACCCTCAGACTGCCTCCCGCATCCTCTCTCAGTGCGTCTCAGCCCGCCCTTCCTTCCTTCTCCGAACTGTTTCGCCATTTCCAGATATACACGACCTCTTCCGCTCTTGGGACTCTACCATCTTGCACCATTTCACCCAGCTCTTTGGCCCTGGTTACTAGATTCCAGACACGGAGCAGACCACCACGGCGCAGCTGCAAGCCTTCCTCCCTATTCGCCTTGGGGGTTTCGGCCTTCGTCCCTCCGCCTCTACTGCACCTCTCAGCTACCTTTGCAGTTGGGCTCAGTCGCTTCCATTGCTGTCCACACACTTCATCATTGACGGCTCGCCGCTTTTCCGCCCCTTTCTCTCCTCTGACACCATTCACCGCTTGGACGAGTTCATCCCATCAGCAACTGCCATGATCCCCAAGGAAGTTCGGGATCGCTTTCCTTCCTGGTCTCATCTTCTACCCGGCTACCCTGCCAAACTCTTCACACACCTCTCGCAGCAGCTTGAGGCTTCTTTGCTCGAGAAAGTCCGCGCGACTGTCACTTCCCCTCTTCGCCTGGCCCGTTTAACCTCCCTACAGGGCCCGCATGCGGGGGATTGGCTTACTGCGGCTCCTTCTTCGCCTCAGCTGCAGCTCACTGAAACTGAATGGCGCATCGCTGCTGCCATCCGCCTCGGCCTCCCCATTCCTCACCTCAGCTCCGCCGAGTCGTGCGCTTGTGGTCACTCCTTCTCGGACCCTTCCCTTCCTTCCCATGCCCTCTGCTGCCCCAAGAACAATGAGCCTACCAAAGTGCACGACGCCGTCAAGCACGAACTGCACCGAATCACTTTGGAGCTCGATCTTGTGGCGCAGATGGAAGACCACCACCTCCTTCCTGGCCGCCGACCTGACATCAGCTGCAGGGACATTCAGGCCGGCACCACCTGAGCTCTGGATATTTCAATGGCTGATCCACAGCATGGCTTCCCCCACTCCAACGCCGCCACTGTCATTGGTTCAGCCGCTGCTTCACGCGAAACTGAGAAGACCACACTATATGCATCGTCCCTGCGGCCCCGACCCGACGTCAAGCTACTTCCTTTGGCCCTTGAGACTTTTGGGTGCTTTGGAAAGTCATTCCAGGACTTCCTTAAGGAGTGCAGCCGCCGTGGAGCTTCTCGCCTTCGCGAAATGAGTGGTTCATCCGACCTCCTTCCGCAACTGTTCGAGACCAGTTTCTACAAGCGTATTTCCCTTGTCCACCAGCGCAAGCAGGCCCGCACGATCTGCAGGTGGGCACAGGTTCGGTTCACCGTCGGGACCATCACCACCTCTTCGGATGTTACCCCTTCGTCGGTAGCAGACTTCGCGTATATAGGGAACGACTACTGAATGAGATAGAAGTTGGACTACCGTTGTTGTTTCCCTTGCATAGCTTCTCTTAGGGCGTGTGTCCTTTTTGCTCCCGACGGTTCGAACCGTGGACCGTCCGATTTGCGAATATGTTACTCGTTTCGTCGCTTGTCGTGACTATTTCGTGAAGGTATTGGCGACGTCGCCAGCGGTTCGACCTGTCGCGTCACATTTCCCTCCAAGCAACGGTTCACATTCTGAACTTTTTGCAGTTCCAATTACAAACGGGCGGATGCACAGTTCTGGCACTGGATTGGCGCGCGAAGGACTCGAAAAACAAAAACCGAGCCGCATGTTCAATTTATTTGAGGCCCGCGACGCGCGCCTGAATATTGAACGATCGCATCACCCCCTAGCCCACCAACATTACAAAGCCCCCAGCAATCCGAACTGAACCCTCACAACCAGCCTGCAATGGAGCACTCTAGCGCAGGTGTGCTGGGTGGGTGTGAATGTTTGAAATCGAGCCGCCGTGTGGTGAGCGAAACTGGCGAGAGTGTGTGACTGGGGTTACGATGGTACAGTAGCTCTAGCGAGTCCACTGTACTTCGGTAGTTTCAGAAGTAGAGAAAAGTCACGTTTTTGCCTTCGGACAGTCTGCAGTTTCGAATTTTCGAAACGGACTGTCCGGTACCCGCTATTGGGACCGTCCGCTTCGATACAAGTGGACTGTCCTCGGAAACACAAAAAATCAAAAAAGGCACACGCCATTAGGTAGCATTGTAGACCTTACGACCCCTGTACCTCCTGATGTTTTGAATAAACCAAATTTACTAAATAGAACCTCAGGATTAAGAGCATTTGGCCGAGTGGTTAAGGCGTGTGCCTGCTAAGTACATGGGCTCTGCCCGCGAGAGTTCGAATCTCTCAGTGCTCGTGTTGATGTGGAAGTGCTCCTCCCCCTTTTGCTCCGGATGGTGTAAGCCCTCGTATTTTTACTAAATGTATGCTTTTGGGCATGTGTCACATGGTTTGGGAACACCGGAAATGTGCGTTCATCCTCCTTGTCCCCCCTATGCCCCTCGGTTTTACCTTGTTTCCCTTCACCCCTCGATTTCTCCTCCTTTCTCCTCACGCCTTCACCTTGTTTGTGGAGCATTCTTGGGCCTTCGCATCACACACCTCTGCGTTGCTCGCCTGCACGGCAATAGCCTTTTACGAAGTACGGTACTGGCACAAAGAGGTTATTATTAGAATTGCGAGATAGGAACTCGATAAAGTTGGCAAACTAAGCGGTTGGGGAGTTTGCCGTCAGCGTAGTTATCCAGCCTACGTAATAACCAGCGTATCTGACGTGTGCTAGCCTCCCGTTCTCCTACGTAGCGGTCAGATCAACGAAATCCTGTCGCCAGATCGACGATCAGAAAGCGTCGCTAGAGAGCGTGTTTCGAGAAGATTATCGCGCACAGTCACATGGTGAATTTGGAAGGCTATAATCAAAAGCGTTTTGTCTGGTCGAGTGTTAGAAAGCGTGCGTAGTCAGAAGAGCATCGCGCGCAGCCATGTGGAGAAAATCTCCTACCAACCCCCCATCAGGCCGCGAAGATCACCCGTTTCAGGTCCCATCCTCCGATGTTCCTGCTGGCCCCAGCACTGCAGCTGCAGCCGCAGCTTACACCGGCGCTGCTCGCCGTTCCCCTTCCCCTGCAGCTTACGCCTGTGCTGCGCGTCGTTCCCCCTCGTCTGCTGCGTACGGCGATCCGTACGCGTACGATGGTGATGATCCGTACCAGGATGAAACGTATCAGCAGAGTTCGTACGAGCAAGGCTCTTCGTACCAGCCGCTCCAGCAACACTGCCAGCGTGGATCCCGAAAGCAGCAGCAGCAGCAGCAGCAGCAGCATCGCCGGCAGCACCAGCAGCAGCAACAGCCGCCGCAATTCGAGGAACCTGCGTGGCTTTCCCGCCAAGTCAAGGCTTGCGCGCCCGCCCCAAACGAGCTCTCATTGGTCGGCCGCCCGTGCCTTATCCACGAGGACGATGACGTGGCAGCTGACGTGGCGGGCGGCGGCGGGCTCTTGCCCTGGAAAGGGGAAGATTCTCTAATGATTGACCGCTTCGATGTCAGGCATCTATTGGACGATCTTAAAACGATCAGGCGGAAAAAAGGGGGACGAGGAGGGGGGAGAGGGGGAGGGGACGCAGGGGAAGGTGGAGAGGAGGAGGAGATGGAAAGGGAGAGATATGTGGAGCTGGAAATGATTGAGAAGGAGGAGAGGCGGAAGGCAGCAGCAGCAGAGAGAAAAGCAGAAGCGGAAAAAGGGGAGAAAGGGATTGGAGGGACGGAGGATGTGTGGGAGAAGGCAGCGAGGAGCAGAGGAGGAGGATTCGCCATGGCAGCGGCAGCATCAGAATATGTTGGCGGGCATGGGCAGGGTACGAGGCTTGTGCTTTCTTGGACCGTAACTTGCCTGTGCTTTGTGTTCGTGCTAACGGGCTTGTTTGCTTCTCATCTGCCCCCCTTTTTGTCGAAGCATCCTGAAGCTCACGGTCATGTACCAATCCAGATGCTTGTGTGCCTCAACTCACCACTGCAAAGAAACAGAAAAAACGCACACACACATGTCAGGGCTGTCCAGTCTCCACACTACTCTCGTCTTGGCTGTGGAATTGTTGTGGAGCTCATGTTTGTCTATCTCATTTGCCATCTATATTTTGCCGATTCACTCGATTTCTGCCGCTACTGAGCCTCTTTTCCCCGTTTTCTTCTCCATTCGCATTCGGGCTTTCTGTTATATTGTTTCCTCCTAACTCACCCTTTTCCCTCTACGTCCATCCTCCATAGTGCAGGTTTTCACCAGCAGCAGTTCGCTTCTCGCGTATCTGTGAGGGTTATTGTACATTATTTGTAATAATCACATCGTAAATAAAAACCATTTGGTGTGTCCTCTTTGAGTTCTTCAATGGTATAACATCTCATCTTGTTGCGCTTAATAATGCATTTAATTTAGAAAGGAGCACACATTTCGCAGTTGCTCTCCTTTCTTGCATCCGCCTCTGCTCCTCCTGCATCCCTTCAATCCTTCCGTTTGTTTCTCCTTTCTTCCTGCATTCTCTTCTCCTTCGCCCATCCAGCCCACCAGACCTCCACTCGCCCAGCCTATGCTGCTGTCGCTTTTAGCTACACATCTGCAGCCCCAGTGGAGCAACAAGAAACCCACCCATCGCCTCCGCAGACTGCTGCCTCCCCTGGTGGTGATGCACAAACAGCAGCATCGGCATCAGCAGCAACAACAACAGGGGAAGCAGCAGCGGAAGGCAAAGCGAGTGGTTTTGTACCGCCCTTTGAAATGCCCTCAGAGCTTCAGCAATGCCTGGTATGTTCCACCCTTACTTTGGAGTTTGGGGTTTTGGCTTGTTCGAACAGCAGCAACAGGGGCAGCAGCAGCAGCAGGGAATGGCAAAGCGAGTGGTTCTATGCTCCCTGTGCTGTGCCCCCAGAGCTTCGGCAGTGCTTGGTATGTTCCGTTCCACCTTCCACCCTTCCTCTCGAGCTTGGGGTTCTGGGTTGTTTGAAACGAAAGCAGCAACAAGGGCACCAACAGGGACAGCAACAGGGGCAGCAACAGGGGCAACAGCAGCAGCAGGGGAAGGCAAAGCGAGCGTTTTTTTTGCCGCCCTTTGCAGTGTTGTGCCCCCAGAGCTTCAGCAATGCCTGGTGTGTTCCATTCCACCATTCTTTTCGGTGTTTGGGAGAAAGGCGGAGATTGTGCTGCGCGTGAAGCTCTTACCTCCCCTGGAATGGAACAGCGCAGGCAGAGGCAGCAATAAAGGCACCAATCCTCCTTCGCCTCTCCCCTCACCACCTAAATCTGGTTCGCTTTTGAGAATCCTCAAAACTCTCCCCTGACCACCCGCTCCACCTGTCCTTCCGGTTTCTCTTTCTGAAAAAAACGTTTCTTTTCCTTCCGCCCGTTCCCCTTCGTCTTCACATCCCCCCCTCCCGTACCCCTTGCTGATGGTTTCCTAGCCCCCATCAGAGAAAGTATACACCATAATGGCGCGCACTGCTTCATTCATACGAAAGGCGGGCGCCCAGGCAGAGATTGTGCTTCGAGTGAAGCAGAAGGCTAATCCCGCCTTCGCCTTCCTCTTCCCTGACAACTCCTTGTACCCCTTCTTCCGGTTCCTTGTAGCAAATCCTCAGTTGGTAGGGGAAGGGGGGAAGGGTAAGGGGAAGGGGCAGGGGGAAGGGAAGGGAGAGGAGGGAGAGGGTGGGGCGAAGGGAGGGAAGGAAGGGGTGGGTGTGGGTGAGGGGCAGGGGAGAGTAGGAGGTGAGAGGGGTGGGAGGGTGAGTGTGGAGAGGGGGAGCGCTGTCATGCTGCTTGGGGCTGCTTATGGGGAGGATGAGGAGGAGGAGGATGGGAAGGAGAGGACGAAGGAGGAGGAGGGGAAGGAGGGGGAAAGGGGGGAGAAGGGGAATGAGGAGGATGAACAGGAGCGTCTGGTCGCGACTGAAAAGGGGGATGTAGAGAAGAATGACGAAGGGAGAGAAGGAGGCAGCAGCAGAGAGGGGCGAGAAAGGCAACAAGGGGAACCAACGGAGGAAGATGGAGCATCTGAGGAGAGAGTTACCGGGGAAAGCGTTATCGAGGGAGTGGAGGGAAGTAGGTGGTTCACTGAGTCAGAACCTGCTGAAGCAGCTGATGAGGTGGCGGAGGAAGGAGGCGTAGAAGGTTTGACAGAGATTTCTTCACAAGGTGATGCCTTACCAAAACAGCCTTTCCCAGAACAGCCTCCCCCAGAACAGCCTCCCCCAGTTGAGCCTCCACTAGTCTCAGATGAGCCTCCCCCTCCTGGGATGGAGACAGGAGAAGAAGTAGGGAGGGCGGATCGAGGAGGAGGGGAGGGTGAGGGAGGAGAGGAGGGAGAGGAAGGTGATGAGAGGGCGGAGGGAGGAGCAGCAGCAGGAGCTGCAGGAGGAGCGGGAGGAGCAGGTGGAGAAGGAGGAGGAAGAGTAGCAGCAGGCACAGGGGGAGGGGAAGAGGCGGAAGAAGTGCCCGAGTCGGTGCGGGGAGTGGTGGGGAAGATGGTGGAGTTCATAGTGCGGAACGGACACGAGTTTGAGAGCATTGTGCGGCAGAGAGATGCTGGGGAAGGGCGCTTCCCTTTCTTGTTGCCTGGGGATCGCTTTCACGCCTACTACCAACGAACACTGAAGGAAGCTCTGGAGGTGAGAGTGGGTGTGCGTGAGGGTGTAAGAGGAATTGAGGCACCAGAGTCAGTAGTACGCCCCCTTCCTGCTGCCAGGAGACCGCTTCCATGCGTACTACCAGTGCACACTGCAGGAGGCTCTGCAGGTGAGAGTGGGATAGGGGTGAGTGCAAGAGGAAGTGAGGGGGCGGGGTTGTGGGTGCTTTCCCTTCCTGCTGCAGGAGACCTCTTCTCTTCCATGCTTACTACCAGCGCACAGAAAAGGCCGCTCTGGAGGTGAGAGTGGGAGACGGGTGAGGAACAAAAGCACCAGATCTTTTGAGGCGCCTCAAAATGAGAGTGGGACAGGGGTGAGGAACAAAAGCACCAGATCTTTTGAGGCGCCTCAAAATGAGAGTGGGACAGGGGTGAGGAACAAAAGCACCAGATCTAGTGCTTCCCCTTCCTGCTGCTGGGAGACTGCTGCTTCCACAGCTACCACCGGCGCACAGTAAAGGGCGCTCTGGAGGTGAGAGTGGGAGACGGGTGAGTGCAGGTGGAGGTGAGGGGGCGGGGACGGGAGCGCTTCCCCTTCCTGCTGCCAATAGAGTGCTTCTATGCCCCTACCAGCGGACACTGCAGGCTGCTCTGCAGGTGAGAGTGGGAAGTAGGAGTAACAAAGGTAACAGATTGGAGGGAGTGCTTTTCCTTTCTACTGCCAGCACATTCTTTTACTCCCTCCTAGCACTCCCCTGCCTGTTGCCAAGCAAGCAAGCTGCCTTGCCCTCCTCTTCCTGCTCTGTTGTCTCTCACAATTTCCCCTGCGTCCTTTTACTTCCGCCCTTCCTAGTGACTTTTCCCGCTCCACTTCCCTCCTCCTCCCTCCTTTCCTCTCCCTCCATACTTCTCTCCACACCACAGCGTGCCAATGCTCCTCTGGTGTTGATGCCACAGCCGCCCCCTCGCCCTCGCCCCTCCACTGCCGTGCTGCCAGGGAAACTGCTGTCAGAACTTGAGCTTAGAATCCGAGGAAATGACGAATCGCCCTGTTTTCAAGTTTCCGATTCCTTTGGCCAGTGGCTTTGACGCCGCCTCGCTTCTCCGTTCGCGTCCGATTCCTTGGGGCAGTTGATTTCGACATTTCCAATTTCCTGCGACCAGGGAAATTCTGAAGTTTACCTGGTTTTAGTTTAGTGGCCAGTGGAAAAAATAAACCCCTCTCGGATGGCTGGCCATTTGGGAGACATCAACCCTAAACACCTTGCCTCATGGTGTTTAGGGTTGATGCCTCCCAAATGGCATGCCCTCCATGAGGGGTATATATTTTTTGTCCCGAGCTTCTCGTAATTGACGCTACAATTCAATTAATTTTATCCCGATAAATAAACACAATATTAGTCTCTGGACTCGAGAAGGGGCAATAGCGTAAATAACTGACCGAAGGTATGGGACTCGAGCGCGAAGCAAGGCGGTGTCAAAACCACTGCCGAAAGGAATCGGAAACCCGAAACCAGGGCGGTCCGTCATACCCTCTTAGAATCCATGCATTAGTAATGAGCTCAAAGCTCTTTAAGTACATCCACGATGAGCAAGGAATAGATGGGTAGGGGAATCAGGGACAATCTCTAAGGATTGGGGGTAATCCCAAGGCAATCTCCAATTGGTGGGTTGGAGATTGCTTGGAGATCAGATTTGGGTTTGGTTGGGATGTGGTTGTACACCCAACCAAACACTATGTGCAAACTACACTACGCTAGGATATAGAAAGTACAAATACAAAGTGTGAGGTTGAGGGCTAACACTAACAACTGCCTGTGCCTGAATGCCTCTGTCTCATGCCACCCTTCCTTCCGCCCTTCCCCGTAACACCCCCTTCCACAGCACGCCAATGCTCCTCTGGTGTTGATGCCGCAACCGCCCCCTCGCCCTCGGCCCCCCATTGCCGTGCTGCCTGGCAAACTACCCGTGCCTGCTGTCCGCAAACTTAAGGGGGGAGAGGCGGGTGTGGTTCTAAGAGATGTGACTCTAGCGGGAGGGGAGTCTGGTAGGGGTGGTGAGGCGGAGGGAGGGGAAGAGGAGGGTGAGAGGGAGAGGGGGAAGGAGAAGGGGGAGGGAGCTGAGGGTGGAAAGGGTGGGGAGGGAAGTGAGACTGAGGGAGAGGAGGGGACCAAGGGTGGGGAGGCGAGTGGGAGCGAGGGAGAGGAGGGGGAGATACTAGGGCAGGCGGGAGGGAAGAGGGGCAAGAAAAAGGGCGTGCAAGAGTCTGATGAAGAGGGGGAGAGTGGGGAGATTGTGAGTGAGGGGGAGGGAGAGGAAGGTGGGGGTGATAAGGAAGAGGAGGGGAGCAGAGAAGCAGCAAAGGGGGCAGCTGTGGCTAATGGTAGACTCAGTGCCGCAGAAGTGGCAGCAGCAGTGCGTGCAGCTACTGGTAGATTCCCCCCCTCTTCTCGTGCAGCTTCTTCCGCCCCTCCAGCAGCAGCAGCAGCAGCAGCAGCAGCAGCAGCAGCAGCAGCAGCAGCAGCAGCAGAAGCAGCAGCAATAGCTGGCGCTGCTGCTACTTCTACTGCTCCATCTGCTGCCCCTGCCAAGGCTGCTGCTCTGGTATTTGGAGAGGAAGAGACAGAGGGTGGGGCCGGCGGGAAAGGTGGTGGGGCTGCTCCTGCTGCTGGTGCTGCTGGTTCGGGTGCTGGTAACACGGGTGGTAACCGCATGAGTGCAGCAGCAGTGTTGGAGATACTGAGAGGGAGGAGGCCCGGGAGTGGACCAGGCAGGTCAGGCACTGGGCCGGGGTCTGCTCTGCCTTGTTTTGAGGCGCCTCAAAACAAGAGTGCACCAGGCAGGTCAGGCACTGGGCCGGGGTCTGCTCGTCCTGCTGGTCAACCTGTTGCTGCCTTGTCCTCTGCCGCTACCCACGCTACCGCCACTGGCGCTGGCCCTTCTCCTCTCCTTCCTACTGCTGCTGCTCCTGGTGGTTCCGGTGCTGCTGGTGCTACTGATGCTGCTGGTGATGGTGGTTCTGCTGCTGCTGGTGTGATGCAGGGAGGGGCTGTTGCGGAACTATCAGCAGAGGAGCAGAGGCGGCTGGAGAGAAGGCGCAAGGCAAAGCTCTTTTCTGCCATGCTCTCGTCTACCACTGCTGCTGCTGCCGGTGCAGCCAGTGCAGCCGGTGCAGCCGGGGCAGCTGCAGGGAGCACTGGTGCTGGGATTCTCTCTTCCGCCACTGCAGCTGCCGGTGCTGATTCTGCTGCTGCTGCTGCTGCAGGGAGTCATGCAGTCAGGGCCAGTGGTTCTGCAGCATTGGACAGTGATGGTGGGGTAGGTAGCATTGGTACAGCTCCAACCATGCAAGGGGCTGAGGTTGCCCTGGCGGCGGCGGCAGCTGCAGCTGCAGCAGCAGTGGCCAAGGCTCTGCCCCTTCTTGGCTTGTCGGGACAGCCTGGTGTTGGCGTGGGGAAGGGTGGAAGGGCAGGGGAGCAGGCAGGCATAGGAGCTATAGGAGGAACAATAGGAGGAGCAATAGGAGGGGCAAAATTAGGGGTGAATGGAGTGGAAAGTGGATTGGTTGAGATGGGGAAGGGGAAAGTCAGATCGAAAGGAGAAGCAGAAGCAGGTGATGCAGCGGGGGAAGGGGGGAGCAGGGCGGAGGGAGAGAGGAGTGATAAAGAGAGAAGGGGGGACGGGGAGGAGGGTGGGAAGGAAAGTGGGAGGTTGAGGAAAAAGGAGATGAGGAGTGGAAAGAGGAGGGTTGAAGAGCCTCGAAGGAGCAGCAGCGAAAGCAGTTATAGCCGGGGAAGCAGAGAATGTAGCGAAAGTGGGGATAGCAGAAGAAGCAGCGAAAGCAGAGGAAGCAGAGGAAGGGGAGTAAGAAGAGAAAGGAGAGGTGGAAGCAAAGGAGACGGAAGAAAGAGAATAGGAGGAAGGAAGAGCAGCCCTGCAAGCAGCCGGGATTCCAGCAAGGAGCGCAAGCCAAGTAGGGAACGAAAACCAAGCAGGGAGCGCAAACCAAGCAGGGAACGCAAGGCAAAGGTCGTCCGGAAGAAAATTATGCGCTCTCACTCACACTCCCCATCCTTGTCCCGGTCTCCCTCCTTGTCAACATCATCCCCTTCTCGCTCCATCGCTTCTCATTCCTCCCCATCCTCCTCCCCTTCCTCCTCGTTTTCCTCTAGGTCCTCGTCCCCCTCATCTCCCTCTCGGTCACTTAGGAAAAGCCGTGGGCACTTAGGAAAAGCTGCGGGCACGAGGAGAAGCCGTGGGCACTTAGGAAAAGGGAGTGGTGGTGACAAGAGGAAAAGGCGTGAGCGTTCTAGTGAGGGGAGTGACAGAGATGAGAGGGAACGGCGTGGGCGGTCTATGTTGAGTTCTCCTATAACAAGGATAAAGGAAAAGGAGAGGAAAGGGAGAGGCGATGGGAAGGGGAAGAAGGCAGAGGAGAGGGAAGGGAAGAGGGGAAGGGAGAGGGGGGGAGGGGAGAGGGAAAAGAGAGGGGAGGGGAAGAGGGAAAGGGATGACGATAAAGAGAGGGAGAGGGCAAAGAGAAAGAGGTCAGTGTCTCCTGAAGGAAAGCACATGAGAGGAGAGGGCAAGGGAAAGGAGAGTATACATACAGTAAAGGCGAAACCAAGGGAAGAACAGAGGAAAGGTGGTGGGAAGGAGAGAGCATCTGAACCTGCATTTGGCGTGAAAAGGGAGTCACGTGAAGAGGAGAAAAACCAGGGGGTAAGGGAGATGGGTGAGAGCAAGATGGGTGCGGAGGGGAATGTTGCAACAAGTGTGAGTGTTCCTGATGACATTCGAGCCAAGGTGAAGGCGCTGCTGCGTAAGCTTTGAATGATTGTGATTCTTGTTTTCTGAGCTGAATTCGAAGATCGCACGAAGGGAAAGAGGAAGGAGGGTGCAAAAGGGAGTGCAGCAGCGAGTGAAGGTGTTCTTGACATTCGAGTCAACATGAAGGCTCCGCTGCGCGAGACCTGAATGGCGCCGATTGCATGCTCTTTGGTCTGATGTTAGTGTTGCAGTTTGGTAGATGAGCATTGAGGTCCTCAGTATAATATGTGTGCTTCTTTATGGTGTGATTAGTTGACATTCGAGCAAAGGTGAAGGCCCTGTTCCTCACTACTTATCACTGTTGTAGTGCTCCTTGATGGTGTGATTAGTTGACATCCGAGCCAGATTGAAGGTTGCAAGCTAAGGGGGGCCTGTCTGAAGGTACAAGCGAATATGTTTGTAGATTGACTTGTATAGTGACATTGTTACAGTGCTGTAGAGCAAGAATTCTACAGTGCTATCTAGCTACAAGGCGTGGGGCCAGCACACGGATTATGTGCCACTCAATCTCGGGCTCCTCCTACCAAAGGGCACCAAGGGTGAGAAGTCGAAGGGAGGCGGCCGCAGCCGCAGACTTTCACTCGCTCCCTCACGCACTCAAATTCCTCGCTCTAGCTCCGCATTTGCCCCCTCCTCATCGCACCTCACTCGCAGCCCTTTTGTCAGCCCGGCACTAAAAACACACTCATTGCGACTTTGATCCCACCCCTGGGTCGCCGCGGCGGTCGCAACAGTCGCACAAGTTGCAGAGGTCGCAAGATTCGCAGGCATAGCAGCTCACGACACGTTGATGCGAACTTTGATGTTGCGCGCGCAGTCGTCGCCGATGCTGCTGCCGAAATACAGCGTCGTTCGCGACTCAGTGGGCGCAACTGTGTAACGAATCATTCCCCAGTACCCCTGCGGGGCCACCGTCTTGGCGAAACCGAACCAGCACGCGGTGTAACCGAGCGGCGTCGCCCACTGTCGCACGTTTCGCATGCCGATCCAGCGGAACACTGTATAGCGGAGATGGGCGTGGGGAGGGCGGAGGGGAATGGAGTGTGAGGGATAAATGGGTGGGTGTGCGACAGTGCCAAAGAATCCGTGGGGCTTGGGAGTCAGGTTTCAGTGGGCCGAGTGGGGATACGGGCCGTGACAATGCGAACGAACACGTGTTATAGCCCGTGCCGCGCGGAGCTTATCAGACGCACTCCACCGGAGTGCAGTGCAGTGTGGTGCAATCCGGTGCAGTGTAGTGCAGCGTAGTGCAGTGCGGTGCAGTGTAGTGCAGCGTAGCGCACGGCCTTTTCTCTCAGTGCGAGCAGGTCGAATGTGCCCATGCAGAACAGCTGGACCTTAATATGCGTTTTGGCGCATGATCAGCAGGTGCAATCCGCGGATACCGTAGTACATAAACATGAATCGCCTCTTACCGAGTACGTCGCCGGCCACGACGGTGGGTTGCTTCCACGAAGATACGCCATACGCCCACGGGCTGAGGAAAGTCCAGATGTCAGTTCCCTGCCCAACTGTTATTATCTTAGCGTCCGCCGAGCCTGCATCGGAAGGAACACGGGCGGGGCAGACGTAGGGAGAAAAGGAACGAGATAGGGAGAGTTAAGGGAGGTAGATGGCAGAATTGTTTTAGTCTTGAAATCAGGTGTGCAAGGATGGCTTGCTTTGTGGTTTGTGAGCGCGTATAGTGTGGTGAATCAAGGTGTCTTACCGATGCAGACTACAGCGAGTACAAGACCAAGAAGCACCAGATGCCGAGAGGCCATTGGCCGTGATGGGATGTGAGAAGCGAGGGTTTGGTGCTGCGTAATAATCGCTGGAGGGACTGGAGTCGAAGTTTGGGATTAGTGGCTCTAGGGAAAGAGGTAAGTGCTCAAGAAGGAAATATACTCGTATTGGCTAATGGAGGTTCGTCTCTCCGACCTTATGAACGCACGATGATCTCGACAATATCTTTTGTCCCTGCAAGTCCAACGGAATGTCGAGGCTCTCCCAAATACCAACACTGGCAGCGAGCACCGAGCAGCCAACATGCGCGCAGTGGGGTGGCGATGGCGAGTGAACTTGGTGCAAGAGATCTGATCATCTGATACGAGGCTGAAGGCGGGGAGCGTGGACCAGAGACATGCACTTTCTGAAATCTGAATTCGTTCAGGCGCTTCGGGCATCCCAACCAGGGAAAATTCTAGTAATGTCCGGAGCGCGAATTTGGGGAACAATGTTTGGGTTCTTTGCGGGCGCGGGAACTTTTGTCAGTGTTCGGCGAGTTCAGCGAGGAGGTGTCAGTACTTTCGCGAACAAAGCTCGTCAGTGTGGGGGAGTAGGGGTCGGTGCGGTGACCTAAACAAAGTGTCGGCGACGAAGAATTATTGTGGAGGTCACTGACACACACCCTGCGCTGACCGTGTGGAAAACACTTCCGTTAATTGCACAGATACACCTGTTAACTGTAATACCTCAGAACAAAACCCAGTAATACCCAATTTAGTGAATAGAATCTTCAGTAAATCGACCTTTATCATTCAATTACTGTGTTCAGGTATGAAGTAGCATGCTGTAAGGATTTTTTTTGGCATTCCTTACCGCGTGCGTCAACACCGCGTACAGCAGCAGCGTTTGTTCGTTCGTTACTGCTAACGGGCTTCGCCAACCTTCGCGCAATATTCACCAAACCGTGCACCGCTGGCCTGGCCGAGTCGGCCTACGCTTCGGGACTAGCCCAAACCTCGATGGCAGCATCACACTAGCTAGCTCGCACGCACCACGTTACCGTTGCATGTTCGCACATAAGTATTCGCATGTGCCTTAGCTTATACTTTGTACTCGTTTGACACCTTAGTGCAATTCTAGCATCTTCGATTCATTGCACTCTCAACACTTGGCTATCAGTGCAACTTTCCATTCGGAGCGCGCATTTCCGCAACCAGAGAGAAATAAAATTTTGTTTTTTTACTCGAAGGGATTCACGCCCCTTAGCACCTAGGAGCCACTGTCCTCGCGTTCTCGCGTAAACGCGTACAGCTACGACTGCGCCTAGCGCTAAGAAAAGCCACCGTCCTTCGACATGGCCGAACATATCAACGTCACGAGCCTTACGCAAGAGCGCGTGAACGAACTACTGCAACAGTTGCACGAAAGTTCCGAAGAAATCGCGGCATTGACGGCAGAACGGACGTCGCTGCAAAACGACGTCGCACGGGCGCAACAAGCACAGTCACAACACAAGGCACGCAGACACAAGGAGCACGTCAGGCATCCCAGAATGGGAGTGTAGGACAACCCTCGAGCGCGACTAGTGATGGCGGCGCCCGCAATGACGGAGGCGACGACCACGGCACGACACTATCAGAATGTGATGTTTGTGTAGCCTGCAGTGGGGTACTCTATAGCGAGTACAGCCCGAATTAGGGTTTGCTATATGTACTGAACTGCATGCTAGTGAAAACCCCCTTTTCTTGTTTCTTGACTTTGCCTAGCATTTCAACATGCTATCAGAGCAGGTCGACCCTCCTGGGTCGATCCTGTGGGTGGGTCCCACCCGATGCTTCCGCTGCTCTACTGCTTGTAGCGCGCCCCGGGCACGTGCTGTTTCCTGCCTGCCGCGCGCTCCGGGCGCGCAGCGATTTTTCTTCCCGCCGCGCGCCTCGGGGCGCGCGGCGGTTTTCTGCCCCGTCGAACCGTCGCGTCGCCCCCCGTCGCCCGACGCGGCCCGCGCGACCTGCGCCAGGCCCGCGCGCGGCCCGTATGGGCTGCGCCAGGCCCGCGCGCGACCCGTACGGGCTGCGCCAGGCCCGCGCGCGGCCCGTACGGCCTGCGCCAGCCCAGCGCGCGGCCCGTACGGGCTGCGCCAGGCCCGCGCGCGGCTCGGGCAGCCCGAGCGCGGTTCGTACGGGCTGCACCAGGCCCGTGAGCGGCCCGTACTGTCTCCCCCCTTGCCGCACGCCGTCCCCCGAGCTCCTGACTGCGCCCCACCCCCGCTGCTGCCTGCGTTCCTGTGTTAGGGTTTGGGGGTGGAGAGAATGGGGGTGCCGTGTGTGTGAGCCGTCCCCTTCTCCTCCTCCTCCGTCTCCCACTGCTGCAACTGCCGCTGAGGGGGGTGGATGTGTTGGAGCCGTCGGAGTCGTTCGAGGGGGGTGGCGTGTGAGCAGTGCTAGAGGTGCAGCAGGGAGTGTGTGAACGGGGTGTGGGACAGTTGGGGGAGGTTGACCGGAGGTAGCCTACTTGTCGTCCGCAGCGCCTGAAGTCCAGAGAGCCACGACCCCCTGTAGCCTGAGTAGTCCGGGGCTCTGCGCCCAGTAGCCACAGTGTGAGCATTCCTGGTAGTCCAGAGAGCCACGACCCCCTGTGGCCTGAGTAGTCCGGGGCTCTGCGCCAGGTAGCCACAGTGTGTGCACTCCTGGGAGCACAGTGAGCCAGCTGCGCCTGTCGCCGTGTAGTCCGGGTTTAGCCTGGTAGCGACAGTGCTGCGCACTCCTGCTGCCTGTGTGTCTGCAGCTTCAGCCGTCGCCTCCCATCTTCTCGCCCTCACAGTTTCTCCTCCTCCTCACTTGCCCTCTGTGACTGCGTCTAGCTTTGCTTATACTTGTGAACTAATACTTTGCCTGCTTGTTGTTTTGATTGTACCCCACTTTGACTATGGGGGTGTATCAGAATGTGATGTTTGTGTAGCCTGCAGTGGGGTACTCTATAGCGAGTATAGCCCGGATTAGGGTTTGCTATATGTACTGAACTGCATGCTAGTGAAAACCCCCTTTTCTTGTTTCTTGACTTTGCCTAGCATTTCAACAGACACACCCCGGAGCGACGAATGCGGCCAGGAGTCAGCCACGCGTCGCGATTTCGGTGCCGAACGACGATTCAGCACTGCCGTCACCGATGCCATTCAAGCCGCAACGTCCGCCTTGCTTCGATCCGAGCCAACGGGGTGGTCCAACAGTTCAGGCGTGGTTGTTCACGATGAATGTCTTCTTCGACGCCAACTATGTCACGGTGGATGCGGCCAAGATACGATACGCCGTGTCGCTGCTGCGAGGACCCACCATGGACTGGTGGCGCGTAATCGTCACGAAGCCGACGGATTACGAGACTCTATCGTCACGGGAAGGACAAACCGGACCCTGAGCGCTGTCGTATTTCGTGGAGGTAGCCCAGTATCGCACGTGGGACACGTAGTGCACAGGTCTACGCGTGAGATTCGAGCCAATCGCGAATTCGATTGCGACGCGTTAGAAGCTCCGCACTTGGCGCCAGCTCGGCTCTGTCCAGGACTACACCAGCGGGTTTCTGGGGCTACGTGAGTAGGTGGGATACATGCACTGTCAAACTTATATGCTATAGTCTGTTTAGGCTGTAGTGGGGTAGTTCATATAGGGTACAACACTTTTAGGTTTCCTACTTGTACCCACCTGCTTGCTAGTTCAGTCATTCATTCCTTCACTATTCTAACATGGTATTCTGAGCAGGTTCCCTAGTGGGAACGTTTTTTTTTTTAGGGCCCACCACGATTTTTTTTCCTGCCCTGCCCGAAGCGCGCCTCGCGCTTGCCTCACCTGCGCCGTCGCGCGCCCTGCCCTAGTACAGCCCGTCACGGCCCTGCCTTCGCTGGCCCATCGCGGCCCTGCCTTTGCCGCCTGTCGTTGGCCCGTCCCGGCCCGTCGCCGCCCGTCGCTGGCCCGTCGCCGCTCGTCGCGGCCCTGCCTTCGCCGCCCACTGTGGCCCTGCCCTGCAGCCGCCCTGTCACGGCCCTGCCTTTCGCCGCCCGTCGCTGGCCCGTCCCGGCCCGTCCCGGCCCGTCACCGGCCCATCCCGGCCCGTTGCCGCCCGTCGTCGGCCCGTAGCCGCCCGTCGCTGGCCAGTCGCCGCTCGTCGCGGCCCTGCCTTTGCCGCCCTGTCGCGGCCCTGCCCTGCTGCCGCCCCAGTCGCGGCCCTGACCTAAACCGCCAGCTGCGGCCCTGCCCTGCACCCGCCCCGCCCTGCCACGCCGTGCCGCCAGGAGCTGAGCCGCGCCGCCAAGCCGAGCTGCGCCGCCCAGCCGAGCCGCGCTGCCCAGCCGAGCCGCGCCGCCCAGCCGAGCCGCGCCGCCCTGCCGAGCCGCGCCGCCCTACCGAGCCGCGCCGCCCTACCGAGCCGCGCCGCCCTACCGAGTTGCGCCGCCCTACTGAGCCGCACTGCCCTGCCTGCGCTACTCCTGCTGCTACTGCTGCCTCTGCTGCCACTGCTGCCACTGCTGCCACTGCTGCTCCTGCTGCTACTGCCGCTATGGCTAGCCCTACTGTTCTTACCTTTGATGCTGAGGGGCGTGCAGTTGACTTTGACGTGTGGGTTGACGACCTGCAGCTCTTTCTTCAGTGTGACTCTAGGGACGGGGTATCCCTTTTTGATCACACATCCGGTGTCTCTACTGCACCTGCTGCCACTGCTAACAGTACGGTTCGCTCTCAGTGGACCACTCGTGACGCTGTTGCTCGCCTTGCTGCTCGTAGTCACCTGCCGTCTGCTGAGCGTGCGCACTTTGGCCAGTACAAGACTTCTCAGTCTTTGTACGACGCTGTAGTAGCACGCTACTCCTCCCCTGCCATTGCTGCCCTCAGCCGCCTCATGCTGCCATACCTGTTCCCTGACCTTGCCGCTTTTGCCACAGTCGCTGACCTCATTACTCACCTTCGCACTAGTGACGCCCGCTACCGAGCTGCGCTTCCCACTGAGTTCTGTGCCAAGAACCCCCCCCCCATGTACATCACCCTTTACTACCTAGTCACCCGCATCCTTGACTCCCTTGCTTCAGTCAGGGACCACTTTCTCTCCCTTTGCCCCACCGAGCTGACTGTCGACCTGCTAGAGGAGCGCCTCACTTCAGCTGAGAAGAGTATCTTAGCTGTAGGTGCTTCTCGCGGCGACCGTCGCGCCCCTTTCTTTGAGGGGTGCTCCCCTGTCCCCCTTCTCCCCTCTGTTGCTTCTGCTGCTGCTGTCGACCTCGTTGGCACTGCAGAGGTCGGGGCTGCGTCTGCTCCAGGCGGGAGGCGCCGCAACAGCAAGGGCAAGGGGGGCAAGGGTGGTGGAGGGGACGGTGGGGGCGGCGGTGGAGGCGGTGGAGGAGGCAGAGGGGGTGGCGGTGGAGGTGGGGGTGGTGGCGGGAGTGGGGGCTTCGGTGGCGGCAGTGGGGGTGGTGGAGGCAGCGGCAGCGGTGGTGGAGGCAGCGGCAGCGGCGGTGGAGGCAGCGGCAGCGGTGGTGGAGTTGGCGGCGGCGGTGGAGCTGGTCGAGGAGGAGCCGCGCAGCGTGGAGGCTTTGGTGGTAGCCAGCGCCAGCAGCAGCCGCGTTCCCGTCAGACCCCGTTGGCTCAGCAGCTTCGTGAGTGGTATGCTGGGCGTGGGAGGTCTGGGATTGTTGGTCCCTGCACTTACGTTCTTCGCACCGGCGGGCGCCGTGGAGAGACGTGCGGGCTGCCAGACACTGCGCAACGCTGCTTCGGTCGCCTGACTGACGCCTGGCGCGCCCAGTTTCCTGACGCTTTTGAGCTCCCTCGCTGGGGTGATCTGCTTAGGCCGAATGTTGCTATCTTTGATCTTGATTTCGATGCTATCCTTGCTGCCATGTATGCTGTGACTGATAGTGCTGAGGGTGACTGTTACCTGTGTGTTCCGCTTGATCCGGGCATTGATGCTGCTGCTCTAGGTGCTAGTGCGTCTGCTGCTCCAGGTCCTGGTGAGTCTGTTGCTCCAGGTACTAGTGAGTCTGCTGCTCCAGGTGCTGGCGAGTCTGCTCTCTCTAGTACTGCACCTACTGAGGCCTTGCACACTTTCATACTTGACTCTGGTGTCCTGCGGCCCCGTCGGGCTTGCTGTCGGAACTCCACCTCCCCTCGTTCTCTACGAACTTGGTGATTGGAGCTGACCTTCAGGACTTGTGGGTTGACCAGTTCAGCCCTGGAGGTCAGCGTGTGACCCACTGCACTTGCTCTCGGACGGGCCGCCACCTGGCCACGTTCACCCGTCGGCCTGGGTCGAGTCTGTACACACTGTCTACTGCGTCTCCTCCGGTTCCTGCGTCTAGTCAGGTAGCTGCGTCTGGTCAGGTGTTTGCTGCCACGTCCAGGTCTAGTCCAGCGTCTGCCCCCTGCTCGTGTCGTCCTCTGTCACACGAGACTCTCCTTAGGCACCACCGCCTTGGTCACCCCTCCCTGCCTCGTCTTCGAGGTATGGCCTCCCGTACCCTTGTCTCTGGTCTCCCCAGGTCCCTCCCTCCCCTTCCTCCGGGGCCTGCCCCCACCTGTGTTCCTTGTGTCGAGGGCCGGCAGCGCGCCGCTCCTCACTCCTCCGAGTTCCCTCCGACAGAGGCTCCCATGCAGACTCTCCACATGGACGTGTGGGGCCCAGCCCGCGTCAGTGGACAGGGTCATGAGCGTTACTTCCTGCTGGTCGTTGACGACTACTCACATTACACCACAGTCTTCAACTTGCGCCGCAAGGGTGAGGTCACTGAGGTGTTGATCGAGTGGATCCGCGGTGCTCGTCGCCAGCTCAGTGAGAGTTTCGGCTCGGACCTTCCTGTTCTGCGTCTGCACTCAGACAGAGGTGGTGAGTTTTCCTCTGACCTTCTGAGGGCTTTCTGTCGTGCGGAGGGCATCCGCCAGACGTTCACGCTTCCGGCCTCCCCACAGCAAAATGGGATTGCTGAGCGCCGCATTGGCATGGTCATGGACGTCGCTCGTACGTCCATGATCCATGCGGCTGCTCCCCATTTTCTGTGGCCGTTCGCGGTTCAGTGCGCTGCGCATCAGATAAACCTTCAGCCTCGTGTCTCCTTGCCGGAGACCACAACTACTCTGCGGTGGACGGGGAAGGTGGGCGATGCGTCTGTGTTCCGTGTCTGGGGATCTCGAGCTTTTGTCCGCGATACTTCCGCGGACAAGCTGTCCTCCCGTGCCGTTCCCTGCGTCTTCCTTGGCTTCCCCCCTGACGCACCTGGGTGGCAGTTTTGCCACCCCACCTCGCGTCGTGTTCTGTCCTCTCAGGACATCACGTTTGACGAGTCCGTCTCCTACTACCGTCTCTTTCCCTACCGCACTGCCTCTCTCCCCCCCCGCCCCTCTTCCTAGCACCAGGTGCTCCTCCGGTAGACCCCCTCCCCCCTCAGGGTCCTGCCCCCTCAGGTGTGTCCCAGGTATTCCCTGTCGAGCCTGTCGAGGTAGCTGTTGACTCTGGTGCTGCTAGGGGTAATGAGCGTGCGGGTGCGGGGCCTGGGGGTGCTGTGCCTGGGGTTGCTGAGTCTGAGGTTGCGGAGCCTGGGGGTGCTGAGCGTGAGCGTGTGGAGCCTGGGGGTGTTGAGCCTGGGGGTGCTGAGCCTGGGGGTGCTGAGCCGAAGCGTGCTGTGTCTGGAGGTCCTCCGGGTGTCCCGTAACGGCGGGAGCTCCTCTCTCCGCAGCGGCTCCGTGAGTGGTACGCTTGGTGCTGTCGCCGTGCTGCTGGATCTATGGGGCCTGCTGCTGGAGGTGCTTCTGGAGCTGGAGCTGCTGGAGGTGCTGCTGGTGCTGGAGCTGCTGGAGCCGTTGGTCCTAGAGGTGCTGGTGCTGGAGGTACTGGCGCTGTTGGAGGTCTTGCTGGTGTTGTAGCTGCTGGAGGTGCTGGAGCAGCTGGTCCCGGAGGTGCTCGTACTGGAGGTACTGGAGCTGCTGGGGCTGGTGGTATTGCGGGAGTTGGAGCTGTAGGTGCTGGAGCTGTTGCTACTGGAGGTTCTGGAGCTGGTGGTGCTGTGGGAGTTGTAGCAAGAGACCCTGGAGCTGAGGGTGCTGGTGCTGTTTCTGGAGGCGCTGCGAGGCCGCGGCCGTACTATGTTCCGCTCCTTCAGCAGGTTCTTGGTCTCCCGAGTTCTACTGGTCGTACTCCTCCCTTACTGAGTCCACCGCCTGTCCAGTCACAGTCGCTGTTACAGCCAGCCTCTCCACTGCCTAGTCCTTCTCCTTACTCTGGACCGACTAGAGGTCTTACGGAGCGTCGTGAGCCTGAGTCTCGTCCTGCGTCGCCTGAGTCTCGTCCTGCGTCACCTGAGTCTCGTCCTGAGTTGCCTGTTCGCGCTGTTCGCACTGGTCGTCGTGTTCCGCGTCAGCGTCCTCCTCCTGTCCCCGACACTCACTCTATGACTCTGCGTCCTTCTACTGCTCCACAGCGTGTCCCTCTGCCGTCTCCTCCTGCGTCCTCGCTTCCTGCACTTGCTGACCCGGCATCTGACTCCCTTCGTACTGTCACACGTCTCCTGGCCACTGTTGTCACTGACCCTTCCTTTGAGTCCACTGCTGCGTCTGCCTTAGTTGTTGAGCTTGTCGACTTTGCTGCTCACTGCCGTCTAGACTACGCTGCTAGTCTTGTTGCTGAGTCTGCGTCTGTCTGTCCTCCGTCCGTCGGGGGTGAGTGTGCTCTTGGCACGGACGTCCTTGAGGACAGACAGGAGGAGTTTGAGTACTTTGCCGCTGCTGTACCTCATCTCGTGTTCATGCTGCTTGCCCCTGAGGGAGACCCGGATGCACCAGACATCCCGACCCCGCGCTCATACGCAGAGGCAATAGAGGGTCCTTACTCCTCTCAGTGGCAGGCAGCCATGGATGCCGAGATGGCATCCTGGAAGTCCACAGGCACCTACGTCGACGAGGTTCCCCCACCTGGGGCAAACATAGTCGATGGCATGTGGATTTTCAGGGTGTAGTGGCCGCCAGGTTCTTCGCCTGCCTTCAAGGCGCGTTACGTTGCTCGAGGCTTCAGTCAGCGACAGGGGCTTGACTACTTCCAGGCCTTCTCCCCCACCCCGAAGATGACCACTCTTCGGGTGTTGCTGGACGTCGCTGCTCAGCGTGACTACGAGCTACACTCGCTTGACTTCAGCACAGCCTTCCTACAGGGTAGCCTGCACGAGGAGATCTGGCTGCGCCGCCCACCTGGCTTCATTGGGTCGTTTCCTGCTGGTACCCAGTGGAGCCTCCGACGGCCAGTCTACGGTCTCCGCCAGGCACCCCGTGAGTGGCACGACACACTGCGGACGACTCTTGCTGCTCTTGGTTTTGCTCCTTCGACTGCTGACCCGTCGCTGTTTCTACGCACCGACGCCACTCTGCCGCCGTTCTACGTTCTCGTGTACGTAGACGACTTGGTCTTTGCTACTGCTGACACTGAGGCACTCGCCCACGTGAAGTCCGAGCTTCAGAAGAGACACACGTGCACAGACCTGGGTGAGCTGACAAGCTATCTTGGCTTGCGGATCACCCGGGACAGAGCACATCGCACCATTACCTTGACTCAGTCACACATGGTGCAGCAGGTCCTTCAGCGCTTCGGCTTCACGTACTCCTCGCCACAGTCCACTCCTCTGCCTACCGGTCACTCGCTCTCAGCTCCACCTTCGGACGAGTCCGTAGAGCCGAGTGGCCCATATCCAGAGCTTGTGGGCTACCTCATGTACCTGATGACTTGCACACGACCTGACGTCGCGCACCCTCTCAGCCTTCTTGCTCGCTACGTGGCTCCCGGTAGGCACCGAAAGGTGCACTGCGATGCTGCAAAGATGGTGTTGCGCTACTTGTGCAGTACGTCGGGCATGGGGCTCGTGCTTGGAGGACGGGCTCGAGTTGTCCTCACTGGTCATGTAGACGCTTCCTGGGTTGACAACTTGGCTACGCAGCGGTCGTCACAGGGTTACACCTTCAGCCTTGGCTCCGGTTCTGTCTCTTGGCGGTCTACCCGCTCGTCTTCTGCTCTCAGCTCCAGTTGTGAGGCTGAGATCTACGCTGGGGCCATGGCTGCACAGGAGTTACGCTGGCTCACCTACCTGCTGACCGACTTGGGAGAGGCGCCTCGTTCTCCTCCAGTTCTGTACGTCGACAACAAGGCAATGCTTGCCTTGTGTCAGGAGCACAGACTGGAGCACAGAACGAAGCACATTGCTCTGCGCTACTTCCTTGCTCGAGAGTTGCAGTAGCGTGATCAGCTTCGTCTTGCTTACGTGGCCTCTCGGGCCAACACTGCTGATGTTTTCACCAAGGCACTTCAGCCTTGTGATCATCAGCGTTTCTGTACTGTGTTAGGCCTTGTACCTACTGTGCCTCACTTGCTTACTTCTTGACTCTGCTTGTACTGTGATCTCTATACATATACCTGCATGCTTACACTTGCTAGGTTGTGATAACCGTATTGCTTGTTCTCCTTTATATAACTCTGCATGTGAACTGGCCTTGTGGCCATTTGCTTGTGCTGAGAATGCGTGGTGACTTTGTGATCCACCCTGAGCTTGCTTTGCCTTTCTTGACCGGTCTTGTGACCTCTTGTTCTCCCCCACTTTGCCTATGGGGGTGTGTCAAACTTATATGCTATAGTCTGTTTAGGCTGTAGTGGGGTAGTTCATATAGGGTACAACACTTTTAGGTTTCCTACTTGTACCCACCTGCTTGTTAGTTCAATCATTCATTCCTTCAATATTCTGACATGCACGAGGCGGAACACATCGACCGCTATGTCGGCGACCTGAAAAATGAAGTTGCCCAAGAAATCCAGCTCTCCAACGTCACCGAGCTCAACGAGATTCTTGCTATGGCGGAGAAACCCGATTTTCTACGCCGACCGAGACCGGGGTCCTACGGCAACAACAGCAGCTGGGGACATCGGACTCGTGGGACGAACGAGCACGCCACGATATGTGCCGTCGCCGCGAATGTTGCTGCCACAACGTTCAAAGGGTGCTACTTCGCATGCAACAGGCCGGGGCACCGTAAGAGCGAATGCCCGGAAAAAACTAAGGGAAAGGGGGAAGCTGAGCACCAGAAACAGACCAAGCAGCAAAGAAACGCTGGGAGTTAGTAGTAGACGGGCCCTCTACTGTCAGGTCACGCCACTCGCCCGACCCAACCGACCCTCACCGAGTGATTGTGCCGGTTCACGCAATCGACCAAATAAGGAGGGTACAACGGTAGATAGTCCCATACTGCTTAGTGGAAAAATACAGTCCGACTTAGTTTAAATCTTCGTAGAATGGGTGGGGGCTAGCCACAGCCTGATCAACACCGCAACTGCACGGAGTCTGAAAATGACACTGGACAGATGCTTACCTGAGATAGACGCGAGAATGGTCGACGGCACGTCACTGGCAATACGAGAATGCGTGGACCAAGTTTGGATTCACTGTGGGGGTAGCTTTACGTTTACCCAGGAAATGCTGGCAACGACCCTCGACATGACCGATATTTTACTCGGCCGTGACTGGTTGCGACGACACAACCCACGAATCGACTGGACGACAGGTGACTGCACTGTGCGAATAAACAGTAACAACATCGCCCTACCTTGTTGGAGCTCGCTTGATTCTTCGTCGGTGTGTGTCAACGCGATCACGATGAAACGCGCAGTAGCGGCAGGAGCTGACGTGTATGTGGTTAACATTCGGGAAGCCGAGTCAGTAGACAAACCGAGCGATTTACAGAAAATGCTTGCCGACGTACCAGATGACTTGGCAGCGCTACTGAAGCAGTACAGTGGGATTTTTCCGGATGACCTACCGGAGGGACTGCCACCTCAGCGACCGCACGGCCACACGATAGAATTAGAACCGGGGGCACAACCGACAGTACAGTGACAGTCCAGACTGACCCAACCCGAACTGGACAAACTGCAGTTCGAGCTGGAGTACCTGCCGTACCCTCTCAGCATCCGAACTCGCTACGTTGCGCCCGGGAGCCACCACCCTGCGCATTGGCGGGCTGCTAGGAGGGTGCTGCGCTACCTGGTCAGACTAGCGAGCAGAACGTAGCACTTTGCACTTCGTTCCTTTGCCGCGCGAGTGCTGCAGCTGCGTTCCCAGCTTCGCCTTTGTACGTGGCCACACGGGCCAACACTGCTTGTCTCTTGACCTTGTCTTGTACTTTGATATATAAACCTGCATGTTTCTGGTTGCTAGGTTGTAATCATTGTACTGCTTGCTTTACTATTAAACTGCATATGAACGGACCTTGTGGCCGCTTGCTAGTGCTCAGAGTGCGTGGTGATCTTGAGATCCACCCTGAGCTTGCTTTGCTTTGTTTCTTCTCTTGATTGGTCTTGTGACCGCTTGTTGTGTTTGCTATCCCCCACTTCGCCTATGGGGGTGTGTCAAGTTATATGTTTACTGCTATCTACGCTGTAGTGGGTTTAGCCTTATGGGGTACAGTAAGTTGCTCGACACTTCATTGTATCCCCCTCGCCCTAATCCACCCCATTCCTTCCTACATATCTTAACAACTAGACCAGGGCCTCAGATTCGTTTTGGCCTAGGCTGAATCGTCAGCCTTAGGAGTGAGCTGAAGGCTGATCAATCAGGGTAGCCTTGAAAAAAAAAGCTGAAATTTCAGTGTTTAGTTTAGATAAATGGCTGATCATTCAGCCTTGCTTAAAAAGAAAGGCTGAACATAACTTCAAGCTTTCCTAAAGCGCAACATAGTCATTCAATTTCAAAGTGTGGCATTGAGAAAAGGGCACGCGACGTGCTTCCAACAGTGCACACGACGTGCCTACAACTTCATAGTAGGTCCCGTAACCTTTCTTCGGGAATCCTTCAGACTGTTCTATCAGAGTCACCAAATAAAAAAGGCTGAACTTTTGGTTAGAGTGTCCTACCTACAACAGCAAGCGTTCTACAAGTTTAGCATTGAGATAAGAACGGTACGGTACAGGAACTACATACGATAAGCAATATCCTCATCAACATCATCTTCTTCATCCTCATCATCGTCACTATCACTAGATAAGTCGAGAGCATCTACAGGCTTGGGGTGTTCTACTTCCATGGCTGCAACTTTCCCCTTCTTGCTAGGTTCTCCTGGGGTGGAAATGGGGGAGTTTGAAAACGGCTTCCTCTTCTTGTAGCTTCTCCAGATGTCCACCACCTCGTCAAACACCGGCTCGTACGGCATCAGAGACAAGCACATCAAGTCACCCAGTCTTGCATCCTTCAGCCCACCTCAAAGCCACGACTTGATGACGTTTTGGCGCGAGAAGCCCCTTTCGCACTCAACAGTGCTAAGGGGAATCACCGCAACCGCCACCCACAGCTGCACGAGGTTGGGGTAGCTCTCGCGCCAGTCCGGAGTCTTCAGGATCGCGGTGAGGCCCTCGTGGAACGTCCTCTCCCCCTGTGGTGCAGCAGCAAGGACAGAGCAGAATAGCCGAAGCTCCTTCTGTGCCATTCGCTTGTTAATTCCTGAAAGGCGTAACAGTGGGTTTCGGAAGGGGCAAACAAGGCAGCATGAGTTAGTAGGCTGAGTGTGAACCGTGGCACTAGGGAATGGGCAAACGGCAGTTACCAGAGGCAGAGCAACCGGGATGAACGATGGTTACTTTACCTGGCAGAATCTCCTCCGAATCTTGAGCCTTGAACAGCGTCACCAGCGACAGCAACCACTCCACACATCGTGCATGTCGCTCCGGCTTGCCCTTCGGCCACTCATCAGGCATGAACAGCCTGACACGAGACAGCGAGTCCAGGTCACCCAGCCTCCTCTCCAGGTTCGCCACGATGCGTTCAGCAAAGTCGGTGCAGACGTCAATGCATCCGTCGTGATCCTCAGGGCCATCATACCCGTCCACGGGGTTGTCGTGGAGCATGAAGGTGATTTTCTCGGGTCAGCCGTCGGAGTCGACTCCCTCCATAGTCACGTCGCGCTTCTTTCCAGGACCGTAGCGCTCGATAAAGGGAGAGAGCCAGCAGCTCGAGCCACCGCCGAAGTCGTCCCCACAGTCGTCGTATCGACTCTCCAAGTGTGAGGTCGTGCGCTTGATCTGAGCATTAAGAGAGATGAGATCCAACTGCCAACGGGAGAAAGGGGAGGAACACAGTGTCAGTATGGTAGCTTTCGCGACAATGTAAAACATATTCAATCAAACTGAATTACCTGTTGTTGCTGGAAGGACTTGTTCAGGAGGTTCAGCTGCTCAAGAACATCAGCCAAAAAGTACATGAAAAGTGAAACCTGTACGAGGTGGCAAGCAGATACATAGCAGAATGGTACTCCTTGAGGAAAATCACAACTGCAGGCCATACGGCAAGGATGCGAAGTATGGCTTCACCCCGAGACAGCCACCGAACTTGGTGTATGCCCTGGACTTCCAGGCTTGTCTCTGTGAAGAGCTGCTGGAGGTCCATGAACCGTTGGTGCTTCGGGGCAGAGCGTCCCAGAAGGTCAGCCGTCACGCGGACGAGGTCGTCGACCATGTCGAAGACTGGTAGAGCTTTGGCCGCCTCCTTAGCGGCAAGCGCCTCCCTGCGATGAAATTTAATGGTTGTATTAGAACTATGAACAAACAATAAAGACAGACCGGGAAAGATGCAACAACACCCGCACCTGTGGGCGATGCAGTGACACGAGACGAGGTGTGGGACCCTCTCTCGTAGGCGAACCACCAGTCCAGCTCGACTCCCCATCATCACCCCAGCACCGTCGGTGCTGATGCCCGAAATCCTCTGCACCTCGACACCAACTGCCTACAAGTGAGAGAGCAGCAGACTCAACAGGGTGGATGCGCCAGCTTTCTCAACAGTGATCAGTTGCATAAACTCCGACACGAGTTTGTTGTCGCAGATGAACGTGGCGTACACTATCATGTGCTTGCCCCTGCAGCGATCGGTGCTTTCGTCGAGGCTGATGCCAATGAACGGGCTTTGGAGGATGTGCTCCAGTTGAGTCGTTTGCAGCCAGGTTGCCATTGATTGCACGAGTTCGCCATAGCCGTACCTGCCATTTAAAAACAACGTAGTATTAGCAAAACCGAGCATTCAATGTTACGAGGACATATGTAATAAATACTCACGTGATGTAGTAGGTCCCGTAACCTTTCTTCGGGAATCCTTGAACCCCCTTCTGCGCCATATACTGCAACAACTTCACCCATGTCCCCATGGGTGCGTCACACCCGCTGACGAACAAAAGCACGTCCAGCATTGATACAACACGGATCTTCTCAGCGTCGACGGCCGCACGATGCTCGTTGATGCGAGGCTGCGAAGTCGCGGCAGCAAGCAGGGCCTCCTGCTTCTCCGATGCCAGCTTGTGCTTCCGCGTCCCGGCGTGCTTGCGAAACGCTTGGGTCTGGACGTCGGTCGCACCTTTGCCGGTCCTGCCACATCGTCCCCTGACACCAGCATGCTTGGAGCAGAGACTGCACTTGAAAGCAGGCAGACCACGAACAGTTTTTGTTAGGACAAGCCACGGAAACCTCTCTACCCACTTTGTTTTGTACTTCTCCAAATAATCTGCATAGATAGCATCGACAAGCTCTTGCACGTTGATGTCCAGAGAAGGGCGCACGGTGGATTCGGTGACGACAGGTTCAGAGACTGGGACGCTTGATAAAGACTTCCCGAAACTCAGCCGTTGCTGCTTGAGTTTGACTTTGCGCGAAGAGGACGATTTCGATGTCGACGTTCCAACGAGAACTGTGTCGGAAACACCAACAGTCGCAGGAGTGCCTGCCCAAGAATCCGGGTTAGAAGGCTCGGCGGGTGTCTCAGGAACAGGAGGATCTAGATCTAGTGGGGTTGGCAGTGGAGGTTGAATATGGCGACCTAGAGAGCTAAGAAGAAGATCGAGGCCCGTACGGGCTTCCTCGATGGCGTCAGCGTCAGCGCCGTCTAAATCCGCTCCGTCCTCGTCGTCAGAAAGGGCGTCGCCATGGCCAGCCATGGCATAACAGCGAACAGAGAGTGTGCCGAGGACCGTCCCGGCTAGAGGAGAATGAACCAAAACCCTGGCGAGGATGGGTGTGGTGGGGTGGGCCTGCAGGAACAAGATGGGATGGGGGTAATCAAGAAGGAGCTGGTGAAGAAGGGTTTGTTGCAAGGCGACGCGTCGGTTGCCAGCATGCACGAACTTGGTTGCGTGTTCGGGGTGGGTGATGTGGGGGTGGTTGCCTAGTCGCGCGGCAACAACGTGCTTGGGTGTGCTGTGCTGCTGCATGGTGCGTGCGAGATGTTGTTAACGTGCCATTCGCCAGAAAGTGATGTGGTTGCCCAAAACAACCAATCACGAGCGAAGAGACCTGCGCTCGGCGACAGCAGTGCAAGGTAAGTGCGAGAATGATGCCACTTCCTAGTGCGTTGGCGGGGAATCTTGACATCTCGCCGTGATTGACGGGGGGTCGGTCCTTTCGGTGTACCTAGACAGCCGTAATTCAGGGCACCCACGCGAATCCCCTTAAAGCGATTTCAGCCCACCCCCTCGAGCCAACTCTGATCAGTCAGTGTGTAGTACAGAAAAAAAACTGAAAATTCAGCGATACATAAAAAAAAAAAACTGAGATTTCAGCCCACACCTAAAAAAAAAAGCTGACAAATCAGCCCCACTAAATCCCCAGCACTGAAAACCTAACCTTTTTACCCCTAATCAGCCTTTTTTCGCTGACTTATGAGGGCCTGAACTAGACCATTGCGATAAAATGGCTTGTTAAATAGCGGGTCAGTGCGCCCATAACACCCCAGGACAACGAGCCTATAACCCTTCCCTAGGATCAATCGGGGATCGCTAATGGACCTCTGACACCCCCCCGCACTGGGATTCCCGAGGTGCACACACTGGGATTCGAACCCGAGTCTTTTGTTTTGATACCATGTTAGAATTCCAACCACTAGACCACTGGGATAAATGGCTTGTTAAGTAGCGGGTCAGTGCGCCTATAACCCCCCAGGACAACGAGCCTGTAACCATTCCCTAGGATCAATCGGGGATCACCAGTGGACCTCTGACACCCCCCCGCACTAGGATGCCCGAAGTGCACACACTAGGATTCGAATCTAAGACCTTCGCTCTGATACCATCATGTCAGAATCCCAACCACTAGACCACTGGGATAAAAGGGATTGTTAAGTAGCGGGTCAGTGCTCCTATAACAGGGCTGACTTTATCAGACTAAAATAGTCTGATTGTCTGAAATCTCAGGGTATTTTCCTACGGATCCTGATTTTTCAGACTTGTAAGATTTTCAAACATGAGTGCCTCAGACTTACTTGGTTTTGGATCCTGAGATTTTCAGAGTACTGACTTAGCCGATAATGGGTCTTCATACTACAGGGAGTACGGATCCTGAAATGCGGATCTGTGATTTCTACGTACATTCCGCTACGTCATATGTTGCCAGTGTACGAACACACTTCATGGCGCTGTCACGCGCAGAATCTGTCCTTGGCAACTTTTGCCACCCTTTTCCCTTAGAAATCTGCCAACTTGGCTCACTCTTCCACTCACGCGGGACCATCACTGCAGCTACGCGGTGTCAGCGAGGGAAACTGGTTAGCGTTGCGCCCCACGTGCTACATTTGTGGCAGTACTGTACTGCAGTGGTTGTAGTGTGTTCTGAGTACTTCAGACTTGTGTTTTTGCGGAACCTGAAAAATCAGAGTGGCCATTCTCTGGGAAATATGCCTCAGACTAAAAAATTTCAGAGCCCCCAGAACATCAGACTGGATTTTTTTGAATAGTCAGCCCTGGCCTATAAACCCCCAAGACAACGAGCCTGTAATCGTTCCATATGATCAATCGGGATTCACCAGTGGACCCCTGACAGGCACCTTAGTGCAATTCTCGCTACTACGATGCATTGCACCTGCAACACACGCACACACTCAAATTGTGAAGCTGAGCGTAAAAGAAAAGCAAGGATTTCGATAAACATATCCAGACACTGTACTTACTAGCTAGCGGTCCTCTCAATTGGCAGTACAAAAGCAATGCAAATCTCCATGAGAACAGCTCTTGGCTACATCCACCAACTCATGTTGCTGCATATACAATTGCTTGTAACTGCTATCACTACTCTCCTACCTAAGGATATCCGTAAGCTCGAACCGCCCTGTCCCCTTCACTGCAAACTGAGACGACAATATCAACATTCCGTAACAGAGTCACAAAACTAAGATCCAACATGTCACAAACATCAGCAAGAGCATGCCGAATCTACGGCCTACTGCTGCTTCTGCTGGCGAGCAATCTTCGCGAGGGCACGCTTGCGGATATCCACATTCTGACCCAACCGAATGATGTTGAACAGCCCCTCAGGGAAGCGGTAGATGATGCCCCACATGACCCCGTGCGCCCAGTACGGCGTGCACCGCACCTCCTGCCCCACCCAGTTGGCTCCATGCTTCGCATATAGGTCAGCGGACGGGCAGGTGAGTGACGCATGGCGGATCTTGGACATCTTGGTCGCCACGAACAGAGGCGCCTGCAGGGGAAAGGCACAGGGAAGAACAGGTGAGTCTTGGCCATTGTTTTAGGGGCACAGCGGTTGACTTCTTGGTCACCATGATCAGAGGCGCCTGCAGGTGGGAAGCAACAGGAAGAAACAAATGTGACATGGAGGCATAGAGAGCAGAACTCGGTTGTTTGGGCTCATGTTTGTGGGACATGGCGGAATTTGAGAACATTGGAGCCTGCGGGTGAGGTGCATCAAATGGATGAATCGGCCAGTGAATTCATTTGAGGCATTTGAGCCTTGGGACGAGCAACACTTGCTGTGTCTTTTAGACTATGGTGCCCACGAAACACAACGACCTGTGCGTGTGAAGCAACAGATGGGCTCACGACGAGGCTATTCATAAGGGGGCTTGGGTTGGCGAGGGAAGTGGATCGAGGCTCGATAACGAGATGTGGAATGCGGGTATGGCATGACGTACGGGGGAGGAGAGGAGGGACGGGGCACAGTGGCGCAGTGAAGGAGTGACCAAGATGAGAAATAACTCATGGAGGGTGGGTTGTGGGACGATGTGAAGCATGGTTTCAAGATGAACTAAGGATGACAAAATGTATACACTTGAGGCACAGAAAGCAGACAGTAAGGAGGTGACATATTAGCCATGACGTGAGGCATAGAATGAAATGACAGCTGGCTGAAAGGGGAAGTCCGGCTGAGGGACACTGTTCAATCATTCGAGCACGGAGAGGGCGGCTTATTCCTGGAGCTAGTTAAATTAATCTTATTCACGAGCCCGGGTGTAGCTAAAAGAAACAGATTACACCAATGCACCTTAAAAGTAACCCCAGTAAAACTCGCTTTCCCCTTATTTTTACAGTTCATATTTCCCCGTGTTAGACAGCGTGTCATCAAGGCTCGTCCAATAGTTGCGATCACCATGGCTCACTTGGAACTGACGTCAGCTCCCTTGAATGCTATGCAAGATGGGATTCACCTAGGCTCTTCCGATGGCTGCGGCCCACATGTATTGTCAATCCCCTTGAATGCTATTGACGGTTAACCGTATGAATTTGCATATCCGTCCGTTAGACAGCGTGTGGGCTAGGCTCCTGCGAGAACCGCGGCTCACCTGAATCTGGACGTCAATCCCCTTGGATGCTAGTCATGGTGCTCTTCACCTAGGCTCTTACAATGTCTGGGGCTCACCTGATCCTACACGTCCATGCCCTTGAATGCATTCTCCATGACGCTATTCATCTAGGCTCTTGCAAAGAATAATGCTCACCTGAACCTGTACGTCGATGCCCTTGGATGCATACTCCATGTCGATGCTCCGGGAGAATTGGTCCACGAACCTGCACGCGAAGCAAGCGAAGAGGATAGGAGAGGTAAACGTGAAAGAACGATTTAGCGGAAACATACAAAAGCATGGTCTTGTCGTTATGGAAATTTACTAACTAAAAAAAACCCGACACCTTTCCGCTCACATTTCAGCGAAAAAGGGAAAGGACAGATAACACGATTTCACCTTTTTCGGCTTGCTCAGACTTACGCCTTGGTGCCGGCATAGACGGAGTAGAGCGGATCGGACGGAATGACCGTTGCGACACCCGATCCAATGTTCACAATCGCTCCACGTTTCCTCTTGATCATGTTCGGAATAACGATCTTGGACAGGCGGACAATGGGCTCGATATTGATGTTGATCAGATCCGATATAAGCTTGTCCTCAACCTCGTGTAGGTACTGAGCATGCGGATAAGACATCCCGGCATTGTTCACGAGAATGCCGACTTCCAATTCGTCGACCAGCTTGCGAACTTGATCGTACGCTGACGTCAGAGCCGGGCCGGGATTCGTGAAATCCGCGACGACGATTCGCGTGTCGACCTTGTACTTTGACGAAAGCTCGCTCGCGACGGCCTCGAGTTTCTCCTGGGTCCTGCTGACGAGAATCACGTTGATTTTCCGCTTCGCGAGCTCCTTCGCGAAACCCTTACCGATGCCGTCAGTGCATCCTGTAACAATCGCCCAGGAGCCGTAACGACGGAGGTTCTTGGCGGGGCGAAGGAAGAGAATCCAGATTCCGTTGAGGAAGGAAAGCAAGCCTGAGAAGAGCCATAGGAGACCGATTAATGCGAGGCCGATTACAAACAGCTCCGAAGGCTGCTTGCTCTTAAGAACCTCCAACGCCGCGATAATTGGGCCCGGATCAGCCATCGTCCTAGCAACGGAAAAGGAAAAAAACTCCTGAACAACAAGAATCAGGCTGCTGAAGAGGTGGAAGCGAGCATCTAGGATAACTCGCAGCAGCCTGAAAAGTAAGGGTGAGGAGGAACAAAAGCGCTGGGAACAAGGTGGATCTTATGGCACGGAGTTCACAGTGATTTCTCGTGAAACAGCATGTTTTCCAAGAGGTTAACAAGGGTGCTGAGAGATGTAATTCTTGTGATAGAATCTGCTTGACTTGGGCGCTCAAGCAGATGACAGATGAGGAAAGCCAGGAGGAGCTGGTGCAGGACACGATGACGGGATCTGGACGAGATCGACGGTTGTTGGAGAGGGTGGGATGGCGGGAAACTGACGGAGGACCCAGATGTGTGGACCACGATTACGTGGATGGACACACACGATAGGCCGCGATATGTTGTCAGAAAAACCACCACGAATGCCGACTCAGTGCAATCGCACACTACAAAATACATGACATGACACTGATACAAATGGTTATATATTTGCGAGAACCAATCATATGCACTAACAATTAACTGTTCAACATGTACCTGCGGTAGTATCCCTAATAGGGCTCTTCCTCATCCTCGTCTACATCCACGAACCCATCACCATCCCTTCCCTCATCTTCACTACCCCCTTCCTCCACCTCCCCTCCCGCTCGACTCCCTCCATCCCTACCCTCGTCTCCATCCCTCTCCTCCCCTTCGTCCTCTTCACCCGGCATTCCCCCACCCATATCACCCTCCTCTTCTGCCTCCTCCCCGTGCGCCTCTTCATCCTGTTCCTCTTCTCTCTCACCTCCCTCCCTCTCATCCCTCTCTTCCTCTTCTCCCTCCTCCCCCACATGACCTTCCTCCTCTTCCTTGGTATTTTCCCTCTCATGTTCAGCTGTATCTGCATCCCCCTCTTCATCATCTCCCCCCTCATCCGTTCTCCTCCTCTTCCCTCCCCCTCTCCCTTCCTCCTCAGTATTCTCCGCCTCCTCAATCTCCTTTCTCTTCATCCCTCTCCCTCTTCCCCTCCCCCTCCCACCCCCTCTCCCACCTCCTCTCCCGGCTCCTTCCCCCATCCCTCTTCCCCCACCTCTCCCGCCTCCTCTCCCCACTCCTCTCCCTAACCCCCTCCCTCTCCCCCTCCCCCCTGCTCCCACTCCTCTCCCACCTCCCCTCCCCCGTCCCCCTCGCCCCCCTCTTCCTCCTCGTCCCCCACCCCTAACCCCAACCTTCCCTCCTCTCTTCTTCTTGCCTCCCAAGCCTTCCACCTCCCCTCCTTCCTCCTCTCCCTCCTTCCCCTCTCCACCCTCCTCCCCTCCTTCCCCCTCATCCCCTTCCTCCGCCTCCTCATGCTCCATAACTTCCAGCTGTGCACGATCCAACGGCCAGAAACGAGCCAGATATGCGATCGGATGGTCCCCCACGCATCGACAGGTTTGAAAACGACCGAAAGAGGGTACATCAGATATGGAGACCCACGGGAATGCAAAGAGAGATTCGGTCAAGGAAGGCAAGACAGGCAGGGCATGGGATGGAAGGGCAGATGGGGAAGAAGGCGAGTATCGAAACCATCACAGGTCAAGGAAAACAGAAGAACATGTTCGGCTTTCCCAAGTGGGGGAATTGCTTACAGGATAAGTTGTGATGAGAAAAGTTGGTGAGATGGGTTAGCAGGGTTGCAGCAAGCAGGTTTGCAACAAGCAGGGTTGCAGTAAGCAGGTGCAAGACGAACAGGCAGAGGTGGAGGTGGGAAAAATCACCAAATGTACAGAGAGAGAGTGAGGGAGATTATGTGGAGAGAGGGTATGAGAGAGTGAGGGAGATTATGTGGAGAGAGGGTATGAGAGTGTGAGTGAGGGAAAGAGCAAGTGCGCGGAGTGAGAGAAACAGCAAGTTTGCCAAGTGAGGAAAATAACAACTGTGCAGAGAGAGGAAAAGAGAAAGGGTGCGAAGAGAAGGTAAGAGAAAGTGTGCAAGTGAGGAAGAGAGAGTGTGCAATGAGAGGGTAATAGCAAGTGTGTGGAGGGAGGGTAAGAGAGAGTGTGCAAAGAGAGGGAAAGAGCAAGTGTTCGGAGGGAGGGTAAGGGAGAGTGTGCGGAGGGAGGGTAAGAGTGAGGGTGCTGAGGGGGATATCCACATCTTTGGCTGCTCCTCCCGCCATGATTCCCCGTAGCTCTCCCTCCACCTCCTCCACTATCTCCGGCTGCCAAGATTAAAACAGTTTTGAAGTAATGGGGATAAAAAAGGGAATTAAATGCAAGGAGGCGATTTTTGAGTCGACTTAAAAAAGGGAATTAAATGCAAGGAGGCGATTTTTGAGTCGACATAAAAAGGGAATTAAATGCAAGGAGGCGATTTTTGAGTCGACTTAAAAAAGGGAATTAAATGCAAGGAGGCGATTTTTGAGTCGACTTAAAAAAGGGAATTAAATGCAAGGAGGCGATTTTTGAGTCGACTTAAAAAAGGGAATTAAATGCAAGGAGGCGATTTTTGAGTCGACTTAAAAAAGGGAATTAAATGCAAGGAGGCGATTTTTGAGTCGACTTAAAAAAGGGAATTAAATGCAAGGAGGCGATTTTTGAGTCGACTTAAAAAAGGGAACTAAATGAAAGGAGGCGATATTTGAGTCGAATTAAAAAAGGGAATTAAATGCAAGGAGGCGATTTTTGAGTCGACTTAAAAAAGGGAATTAAATGCAAGGAGGCGATTTTTGAGTCGACTTAAAAAAGGGAATTAAATGCAAGGAGGCGATGATTCCCCATAGCTCCCCCTCCACCTCCTCCACTATCTCCGGTTGTCAGGCAGGGAAGAAAAAGGGGGGATTATAATGAGCATTGAGTGCAGCAAAATGATTCTTTGCACCTCCGCCGCCTCCACCTCCTCCACTATCTACGGCTGATTTTGGAGGCGCATAAAAAAATTCGCGTCCACACCTCTTCTAGCTTGGGCTGCACAAAACAAAAACATGATTTGAGAGGAGATGGGAACGAGAAATGGGTGCCCACGGGCCATGCCAACAATTCATCTGACTTTTGAGTCGACTCAAAAGTCACCTCGTTTCTAGGGGCCATGCCAACAATTCATCTCCCACTGGTTGCACATCACAGTAAGAAGTGATGCAAGCATGCTGCCATGAACGAGAAATGGGTTTCCAGGGGCCATGCCAACAAGTCATGCCAACAGTTCATCTCCCACTGGTCCCACTGGTTGCCAACAGTACGAATAGATGCATGCATGCTGCCATGGACAAATGTAGTGATAATCTTATGACATATGTATGACATGAGCACAGCATCTCACGATGAGATGAGATCAGGTTCGCACCTGAAGCACCGTCTCCCCACGTCCCTCATGGGCGTCTTTGAGTCGTCTCAAAAGTCTCCCCACGTCCCTCATGGCCGTCTTTGAGACGTCTCAAAAGACTCCCCACGTCCCTCAGGCCTGGTGAGGCCATTGAGCTGAATGCAAGTGCACGATGAAGCAACAAGTGCACCACGAAATGCATACAGCAACTCACATTCAGATCTGGCTCCCGTCGAAACCGTCGTCTCCGCACGTCGCGCATGGGCGGGGTGAGACCGTTGCGGCTCTCCGGTCCCTCAATGGGTCGCTCTGCCTCGGATGGCTCCTTCACCAAAATCATCTGATAACAGTCACATGCAGCACAGTCACATGCAGCACAGTCACATGCAGCACAGTCACATGCAGCACAGTCACATGCAGCACAGTCACATATGGTAGTGTGCCAATCGTTACAGTCACAATCAAGAGCAAGAGAGGGCGGGGTGAGCCCGCTGCGGCTCTCCGGCCTCTCCATTTGCAGCTTCGCCGATGAGACGATTTTTGAGTCGACTAAAAAACCGACTCATCACATGCGGCTCTCCAGTCCCTCCATTTGCCGCTTCGCCTATGATGGCTCCTTGATTGAAGAAGTGTTTTGAGACGTCTCAAAACACTTCTTCCTTCATCACTATCATCCGTCACAGTCACACACGGTGGCACAGTCACACACATTACAGTAAATTAGGATGGTGTGAAGATTTACACAATCACAATTATGTCCCACCAGCACCTGCCTGCCCCACGTCTACCGTTTCGACAAGGGGGTTTCCATTGTTCCCCAGTTTTCCAAACACTCTCCCACCTTCCCCAGAATCAAACATTTTCACAACCGAGCTTCCCCGAATCCAGCCTTCCCTGCATCCCACCTGCCCCACACCCGCCATTTTGACAGGCGAGTTGTCGGCACACGTCTTCCACAACTCCACCACACCCCACCACACCCCACCTGCCCCACATCCAGAAACGACCTCCTACCTACCCTCTAAATATACCTGCCGCACGCCCCGCCTGCCCCACACCCCGCCTGCCCCACATCCCACCTACCCGGCTACCCCCACGTCCCACCTGCCCCACGTCGGCCGTTTTGACGAGCGAATTATCATCGTACGACTTCCAGATTCGACAACCGCTGGTAGATCCAATAAGGAGGCGGAAAAAGATTCCTCGCCCATCACAAAGGAGCCCGTTCGGCCGTCCGCTGGTGTGAATGGAGGTGGGAGGGATGGGGTGGGGTGGGGTGGGGTGGGGTGGACACGGGCACCACCGGTGGCAGGTCCAGGAGAGACACGAGGAAGGCCTCCCTGCCCATCACAAAGGAACCAGTTCGGCCGTCCGCTGGTTCAGGCAGGAGGTGGGGTGGGGTGGGGTGGTGAGGACGAGCGAGCTATCATCATCAGTCTTCCAGGATTCCACCACCGCTGGCAGGTCCAGGAGAGACGCGGGGAAGTCCTCCCTACCCGTTACAAAGGAGCCCGTTTGGCCGTCCGCTGGTGAGGGTGAAGGTGCGGGTAGGGGAGCAGTGAGGGGGGAAGCGGGAGGTAGGGGAGCAGCAAGGAGAGAAGGACGAGTTATTGTCATATGCCTTCCATGATGACTCCAGGCTCCAACTCACCACCACCGCTGGCAGGTACACAAGAGACCACCGTTAGTGAAGGCCTCTCCGCCCATCACAAAGGAGCCCGTGCGCCCTTCAGCTGTTGCGAGTGGAGGTGGAGTGGGGTGAATTAGGGTGGGGTGAAGTGGGGTTGGGTGAAGTGGGGTGGGGTGAGAGGCGGGGAAGGCCTCTCCGCCCATCACAAAGGAGCCCGTGCGCAATTCAGCTGTTGCGAGTGAGGTGGAGTGGGGAGGAATGGGGCAGAGGAGGATGAGGACGGCAGGACTACCAAGGATGCGGGAAACGATACCACACCCATCACCAAGGAGCCGGTGCGGCCATCAGCTTGTGTGAGAGTCAAAAGCTTTTGGGCAAAATCTTTTGATTCAAAAGCCTGTCTTCTACCGTCGCTGGCTGCTCCAGATAGTACTTGATTCCCGGGAAAGGATTCCTCCAGGAATAAGATTAGGAGCCAGTGCGACCGTCAGATGAATCAGGGGGAAAGTAAGATTAGGTAGGGTGGCGAGAGTGATAAGGACGAGTGGTGGCGTCAGCTGGTTTACCTACCTTGAGGCGCCTCAAATGTTTACCTACCTTGGAAGAAAAGTTCCATGGCGACGTCAGCGGCGGCGGCGGGGTCTTCCCGCAGCACGCGATCCATCCGCGAAGCCAGCGACGGTGGTAACCGCAACACGAAATGCTCCTCCATGACCCTCGCGAACTGGAAGAAAAAACTGGGTTACCGAACAGAATCAACCCGAACCGAATAGAAACGAGCCGAACCGAACACAACGGGGTGTTTGACAGTAGTGTTTCGGGTTATGTCAACGATCTTGCAGGCGCTCGGAAGGCCTTTTGGGTCGACGGAACCGCGTCCGTCGCGACTAGCGGCTGCGTGGTTGCAACAGGATACGCGGCGCGTTCGAAAACGGGCGTGAGCCGAGTTTCGAGTGCACGAACGAATGCGCTCTAGGTATAGTTTAAAATTTAGGAATCAGAATGCGGAAACAAATGCTAGGCATCAAATGTGCTGGTCGAAGCGCCTGATCTCATCGTCTAATGTGACAAGCGATTGAGGTGCTGCTCTGCTTGTGTACAACCGCCAGGTTTGAGACAGTCTTAATCCCCGTGAAAAGTCGATTCGTTTGCGTCAAACACTCACTGACGCAGCATACGTCGTTCATCTCTACGTTCCTAGAAATATGCCATCCATGCCAAACAGTATTTGCAATACCAAAATAATATCCTTATTGCTTTGTAGCTCGTTAGAAGAATCTATAATTGCAATTTACTATTAATCAATCCACATCATTTGCTATTAGGACCTCATCCACAAGCCATATCAATTCATACTGTACAACAATCCACCTCAAAAACTGCTCGCAATACTCCACAAGGAATTGCGTCGACCGTTTTACATCAGCAAAGAGAGTGTACAATCAACTCACATCCTCCACCTCCACCACCACCCCCGCTCCCCCTCCACCACTTTTCGTCTCCTAGTGGTTGCCAGATGAGCCGAGGTGATAATGTGGATGGTGTATCGGAGGGAAGTTTCCCCGCCGATTTTGGAGAGCAGGTCGAGAGCGTCAGGGGAGGTGTCTACTGCTTCTTCGAGGCATTGGATCTTAATTATCTCCTTGATCTCCTCTTCCTCGTATGGCTGGGGAAGCAGGGAGGGGAAGAAGTGAGGGGGAAAGAGAAGGGGGGAGGATCCCAGAGCGTCAGGGGACATTTATGCTGCTGCTTTGAGACATCGGACTTTGATGATTTCCTTGCTCTCCTCCTCCTTGTACGGCTGAAAAAAAAGGGGGAGGAACAGAGGGGCGGTTTGCAGAGCATCAGAGGAAGTGTCTGCTGCCTCCTCTAGGCATCGAATCTTAATGATTTCCTTGCTCTCCTCCTCCTTGCACGGCTGGGATGCGGTGGGAATCGGATGGGGTGAGGGAAGAGGTGGGAACAGGGAGGGAATGGAAGGACATTGATATTTTCTCCTTGTGCGGCTGGGATGGGAGAAGGTAAAGATGGATGGAGGAGAGGAGAGAGTGGGAGGAGAAGGTGAAGGAAGCTTCGGTTTCATTCGGCTAAGTTGCAGGAGGCAGGCGAAGGAAGAGGAAAGGGAGCGACAGAGGAGAAACATAGTGAGACAAAGTGAAAGTGAGCGACAGAGGTCAGCCAGCTTACACGGCTTGCTACAACCTGGCTTTCATAAGCTAGGCGAAGTGACAATTTGCACCCCTGACTGAAACGACGGGTACTGGACCTTTAAAGCTTCAAATCACATTGAAATCATCAGTTCTCAAGACTCTAAGGATAAAAAATATAAAATACGTTTGGCTCATATTATGGTTCTCTGGATTGGTACACAGGTGTTCAACCCGCCTCACCTCCTGCTAGCTCAGCTCACCTCATTGCTGATGACGAGGAGGTAAAAGGAAACCAAGAGGGGATGCGGGGAGGAGAGGGGGAGGTGGAAGAAGCTTATAATCTTTCTATTGAATCCGAAATCAGATCGCCTCGCCTAAGTACTGGTGGTGAGAAGGAGGTAGAAGGAAATCCAGGGGAGAGGGAGAGGGAGAGGGAGAGGGAGAGGGAGAGGGAGAGGGAGAGGGAGAGGGAGAGGGAGAGGGAGAGGGAGAGGGAGAGGGAGAGGGAGAGGGAGAGGGAGAGGGAGAGGGAGAGGGAGAGGGAGAGGGAGAGGGAGAGGGAGAGGGAGAGGGAGAGGGAGAGGGAGAGGGAGAGGGAGAGGGAGAGGGAGAGGAAGAGGAAGAGGGAGAGGAAGAGGGAGAGGGGAGGAGAGCGGAAGGAAGGGGGATGAAGCTTATATGCGTATAACCAGCTCCGGATTTGAGACGTCTCATAACCAGCTCCGGAATCCGTCAGCCTCACCTCAGTGCTGATGATGAGCAGGCGGTCGAGGAAATTGAGTTACCAAGAGTGCTACCATCGCCTCAAGAGTGCAACCCCAATATAAGCACTCAGTGCCACTCACCTCAGTGCTGATGATGAGCAGGCGATCGAGGAAATTGAGTTACCAAGAGTGCTACCATTGCCTCAAGAGTGCAACCCCAATATAAGCACTCAGTGCCACTCACCTCAGTGCTGATGATGAGCACGCGGTCGAGGAAATTGAGTTACCAAGAGTGCTACCATCGCCTCAAGAGTGCAACCCCAATATAAGCACTCAGTGCCACTCACCTCAATGCTGATGATGAGCAGGCGGTCGAGGAAATTGAGTTACCAAGAGTGCTACCATCGCCTCAAGAGTGCAACCCCAATATGAGCACTCAGTGCCACTCACCTCAATGCTGATGATGAGCAGGCGGTCGAGGAAGTCCAGCGGAATGCCATGTGGCGCCTTGTAGTTGGTTCCTCGATCGTGGTGATGCCCCAATTGGTCGCCACAACCAGTATGGGAGCCATCTCGTTCTCGAGGGCTCTGTTGAGGAAGGAGAAGCACTCAATGTCCAGCATGTGCACCTGGCAAATGGTGGAGAGCGGTGGAGGAGGGTGGAGATGGGTGGGGAGAAGTGGAGAGGGATGGAGAGGGTTAAAGAGGGTTGAAGGTAGGAGAATTGGTTCGTATCCACCACCAATATCGGAACCATTTCGTCCTCAGGAGCCCTGTTGAGGAAGGAGAAGCACTCAATGTCCAGCATGTGCACCTGGGTGGAAAAGGATGGAGAGCGGTGGAGAAGGGTGGAGAGGAAGGGAGGGGATGGGAAGGAAAGGGAGAAGAGGGGACGGAAGGAGAGTGGAGGGAAGAGGAAGGGAAAGGAGGGAAGAGGAGGGGAAAGGAGGGAAGAGGAGGGGAAAGGAGGGAAGGCGAGGGGAAAGGAGGGATGGGGAGGGGAATTTAAGGAAAAGGAGGGAAAAGGAGGGAAGAGGAGGGGAAAGGAGGGAAGGCGAGGGGAAAGGAGGGATGGGGAGGGGAATTTAAGGAAAAGGAGGGAAAAGGAGGGAAGAGGAGGGGAAAGGAGGGAAGAGGAGGGGAAAGGAGGGAAGAGGAGGGGAAAGGAGGGAAGAGGAGGGGAAAGGAAGGGAGAGGAGGGGAAAGGAGAGGAAACGTGAACGTCTCAAAACCAATCTTATCAATGAGCAGTAATTGAGAGGCCTCATTCTCCCCTCATGGATCAACAAGAGCAACCACGGCACCACATGCACGACACCACATGCACTCACCATCCCTTACCTACACTCACCATCCCTTACCTACACTCACCATCCCTTACCTACACTCACCATCCCTTACCTACACTCACCATCCCTTACCTACACTCACCATCCCTTACCTACACTCACCTCCTCACCCCCTCCAAAAAGGGAACTCTTGGGTTCCTCTCACTCACCTCATCAATGAACAGCACTCCTGGCACGATCTCCGCCTTGCCCTTCGCCTACGACTCCTGCACCTTGCAGTCAATCTGCTCCCGCACTTTCTGATCGATCAGCACTGACAACTAGGCCTCAAAAGAGTGAGTCTCACCTCATCAATGAACAGCACCCCAGGTTAAATCTCTGCCTTGCCCTCCACCCACCACTCCTGCACCTTGCACTCAATTTGCTCCCACATTCCACACGCACCTCCCATTCCAATCCGTGAGAAGAGGCGATTTTTGAGTCGACTAAAAAATCCCACACGCACCTCCCATTCCAATCCGTGAGAAAAGAGCCACACTCAGAGTACCAACGCCCCCACACTGCCTCATACACCCAAGTCTCTCACCTCATCAATGAAGAGAACTCCTGGCACGATCTCCGCTTTGCCCTCCTCCCGCCACTTTTGCACCTTGCTGTCTGTCTGCTCCCGCACCTTAGCACGAATCTCTCTCGTATCCCCCGTAAACAACGCCAGGAACCCATGTGTCTTGCTATTAATCACATCCATCTCATGCAGCAACACCACATGCACCACCTCTTTCCCTCCTTCCTCCCTTAACTCCAGTCCATACTCCCTTCCCTCCTTACCCTCACCTCTTTGCTCGTCTGGCAGCCTCTGAGACAACCCAGAAGTCACATGCATCACCTCCTTCCCTCCTTACCCTTAGAAAGAGATCTCCTGGCCTGGGGTCCTCTCACTCACCTCGTCTATAAACAACACGCCTGGGTATCTATATGTCGGTGGTCTGAAGAAGGCTTTATGCCGAAACCGAAACCGGTTACTCTCATATTTTCACCTAAAAAACATAGTTTCTGCCACGCAAAGTCAATGGCACCTAATTGGGGCCCATTGGGGTCCTCTCACTCACCTCGTCTATAAACAGCACGCACGCCTGGGCGTTTCCATGTCGGTGGTCAGTTTGTTTTTTTAGATTTCTAAAAAAAACAGACTCAGCATAAAATCTCACCTCATCTATAAACAGCACGCATGGGTGTCTCCATGTCGGTGGTCTTGAGTGTGAGCTTTCCCGTTTTGGCCATGGCTCCGGCTGTGGCTGGTCGATCGATTTGGATTTCGACTACCCCTTCGATGATTTCTGTCTCCTCTTTGATCCTCACACCTATTGCCTTGCGAAACGCCTGGTGTTGGGGGAAATAGACAGGGGCATGAGAGGAGAGGGAGAGGGTGAGGGAGAGGGTGTGGGAGAGGGTGAGGGAGAGGGTGAGGGAGAGGGAGAGGGAGAGGGTGAGGGAGAGGGTGCGGGAGAGGGTGCGGGAGGGGGAGCGGGAGAGGGTGGGGGAGAGGGTGCGGGAGAGGGTGCGGGAGAGGCGGTGGCGAAGCAGTCGATATATATTACTTTCCACCACCTCGCCTTCGACTATCTTGATTTCCTCCTTGATCCACACACCAGTAGCCTTGCAAAACGCCTGAGTTGGGGGAGAAGTTGGAGTTATGAGGAAAGGAGTGCGAGGGAGGAAAGAGGCAGGCAGGGAGGGAGAAGGGGAAGAGAGATGAACCGTCAGCCAGTCTGATTCCCCACCACTTTGCCTTCAACTATCTCCGTCTCAACTTTAATTCGCACACCAGTTGCTTTGCGAAACGCCTGTCAGGGAAACAGACAGGAGCAGGAGAGGGAGAGGAGGGTGGTGGCCAGGCGGTCGATTAGGATCTCCGAGCTTTATCGCACGGCTATGGCCTTGCGATGTTGGTAATTGTGAGGGTGAGCTTCAGGGTTTTGAGTGAATATGGTGGAAGGGAGGGAGCAGAAAGGGAGATTCGTGGAGATGGGTTAGGTGAGAACAATGGGGCACCGGATCGGGAGTTTCGGAAGGGTTTGGGTTTTGGGGAGGGCGGATGGAGGGGGTTTGAGGGGAGGATGGCGTCAGGGTGAGATTCGCATCCGACGGCGCAGGGAATGCAGATGGACGGATACAGCAAAGAAAATAGTCCTTGTTAAAGGCCGATGCACCCTCATTCCTGATCACGCCCCTAAGCCACGTCTATCCTTGCAGAGAATGCGCAGGGGCGGAGTATGTCGGAAACAAGAAGTGCAGCTAGGCTTAGGAGCCATGGCTATGGTAGCTTAGTAGCTTAGGTTTAGGGTTCAAGAGGAATGTCGAGAGATTTGCAAAGGAGAAAAGTGTGTTCAATGAAGAGAGAAGGTACAAGGATATAGGCAAAGCAAGCAAGGTGCACCACCAAACAATGTAACACTACACTAACTACCGCTACAAGCAGTTTATATAAGAAATATATTTCAACACACCCCCTAAACTGCTTGCAGCAGGAAGCCAATACAGAGACACCCCCTGAAGGGGTACACCAAGCGCAGCAGAAGGAGAGGGGAAGTGAGGAGGAGGAGGGACTGTGAGAGGAGTGGAGATAGGAGGCGACACGTGAAGCCGCAGTCACACTGGCAACAGGAGCGGCGCGCACAGTGGCTACCTAGCGCACGAGGGCACCGGACTACGGGAGTATCTGGCTCCGCGGCTACGACGAGCGGCAGGAGCAACGGACCCACAGGCGACTGGCGAAGCAGGCTCGCTGGGCTACCGAGAGCACGAGGGCTCCGGACTACTGGCGCTGCTGACGACACGACGGTGACCTCCGCTCAACCTCCCCTAACAGTCCCACACCCCCTTCTCACACACCCCCTTGCTGCACCCCTGTCTCCACTCCCACGACACCCCCTTAACTCCACTCCCCTCGGCTCCCACACATCCACCCCCCTTCAGCGGCAGCTGCAGCAGCGGGAGACGAAGAGGGAGGAGGAGGAGGAGGGGAAGGGTAGCACCCACACTCATCACCCCCACACCCGCCACCCCCATACCCTCTCCCCACGGCTGCACAGGGTCCAGGAGCGGCGTCATGGGCAGCTGCAGGGGCAGCTGCTGCAGGGGCGGCTGCTCCAGGGGCCAGGGGCGGTTGCAGGTGCGGCTGCTCCAGGGGCCAGGGGCGGCTGCCGCAGGGGCGGCTGCTCCAGGGGCCAGGGGCGGCTGCAGGTGCGGCTGCTCCAGGGGCCAGGGGCGGCTGCTGCAGTGGCAGCTGCTCCAGGGGCGGCTGCTCCAGGGGCGGCTGCTCCAGGGGCCAGGGGCGGCTGCAGGTGCGGCTGCTCCAGGGGCCAGGGGCGGCTGCTGCAGTGGCGGCTGCTCCAGGGGCGGCTGCTGCAGGGGCAGCTGCTCCAGGGGCCAGGGGCGGTTGCAGGTGCGGCTGCTCCAGGGGCCAGGGGCGGCTGCTGCAGTGGCGGCTGCTCCAGGGGCCAGGGGCGGCTGCTGCAGGTGCGGCTGTTTAGGGGCCAGGGGCGGCTGCTGCAGGGGCAGCTGTTCCAGGGGCCAGGTGCGGCTGCAGGGTCGACGACGGGGGTGCAGCGCGCAGGCCCCCCGAGGGCGCCACGACGGGCGACGGGGAAGGGGGGCGCGCGCGTGCCTCCTGAGGGCGCCGCGACGAGCGACGGGGGCAGCGCGCGGGCCCCCTGAAGGCGCCGCGACGGGCGACAGGGGGCCGCGCGCGTGCCCTCTGAGGGCGCCGCGACGGGCGATGAAACCGCCACGCGCCCCCAAGCGCGCGGTGGGTAGAAAAAAGCCGCCACGCGCTCGGAGCGCGCCACGGGGCGCGCGACAGACAGAACGACAGCGGAAGCAGTTGGTGGGCCCGTTAAGGGAAGCGGCAGGAACGTGCTCGCTCTAGATACCATGTCGGAAACAAGAAGTGCAGCTAGGCTTAGGAGCCATGGCTATGGTAGCTTAGTAGCTTAGGTTTAGGGTTCAAGAGGAATGTCGAGAGATTTGCAAAGGAGAAAAGTGTGTTCAATGAAGAGAGAAGGTACAAGGATATAGGCAAAGCAAGCAAGGTGCACCACCAAACAATGTAACACTACACTAACTACCGCTACAAGCAGTTTATATAAGAAATATATTTCAACAGAGTAGGAGGGAGATGCGCATAAGATGGCGCAGGGAATGCGGAGGGACACGGATTGCGAGGAAATCATCCTCGTTAAAGGCCGATCCCCTCCTAACACGGCTTTTTTGTACTCAGCACCCCTACCCCAGACCCTACCAACAAATCCCTCTTTCCTCCCCTTCACATAACTTCTCCCCATCCCCCACACCTTTCCCCAACCCCCCCTCCTCCTGTCCCCATTCCCCTCGTCCCCCAGTCCCCCCGCAAAGAGCGCCTCGGGCTAGCAAGCACCTGGGTGAGCGCTTCGGTCTTCGACATCACGAGCGAAAATATATAGCTGCTCGCCATCATCGCGAATGACGTCTCCTCCCCGAGAGCTTTCGCCATCCCCATCGCGATCGCCGTTTTCCCGGATCCGGGCTTCCCAGCTAACATAATTCACTGGCCTGCGATTTTCCTTCCTTGATCATCGCCAGGATAATTCCAGCTGCCCGACGAGCCTTTTCCTCCCCGACCATACCCTGCGACACGCATCGCTAACCCCGTCTCTAAACACTCCCGAACTCGACCTCCTATTTTAGGGAGGCCACTAATTTAGGGCCGGTGTCAGTACGGAAACCCTACTACAGCATGCGAACTTCTCGTTCAACACACCTGGTTACAAGAAAATTACAACCTTGAACGACGCTATATGTAAACTCGTTTCAACATAGAAAAATAGCGAGCGACTCTGTGTCGAAGCACAAATTCTCAACTTGGACAATTCTGAATCTGCAGTCCCAATTCGAAGCACTCACGAAAACCAAACATTCGACCGACTGCCCAGGGCTGACGTGGTATGCGCTAATTCGGTTATTCAAAATTCGCAAGGAACCTCACCTAAAAACTTCGCATTTTCCCAAATCCGAATCGCGTATCAGCCGCGCCTCGATTTCACAATCGAACCAATTTTGGCACTAGGATTCGAGTTTGTCTCTTTCCAAGTCTGACATAAATACCCCTCGACACAAGTAGCAATTGTCAAACCAGCTCATTCTTCCTTTTGCTATCAACGGCCAGCCCACCTTTCAGCTTGCGCTCAGCCCACCGCCAGCATCATGGCTGCTCTCTCCTCCGCCTCCACGGCATCCGCCGCTTCCACATTCGTCGGCTCGAGCGCGGAGCTCACGGCGAAGGTCCGCAACGTGGAGTGTCGCGTCACGATGCGCAAGACCGTCAGCAAGGTCGCTGACAACCTGAGCCAGTGGTACGGCCCAGACCGCAGCCTCTTCCTCGGCCCGTTCAGCGCGCCGCCTGCGTACCTGAAGGGCGAGTTCCCCGGCGACTACGGGTGGGACACGGCGGGGCTGTCGTCGGACCCCGAGACGTTCGCCAAGAACCGCGAGCTGGAGGTGATTCACTCGCGCTGGGCCATGCTCGGCGCGCTTGGCATCGTCTTCCCCGAGCTTCTGGCGCGCAACGGCGTGCCGCTGCAAGAGGCGGTGTGGTTCAAGGCGGGCGCGCAGATCTTCTCAGAGGGCGGGCTCGACTACCTGGGCAACCCCGCGCTCATCCACGCGCAGAGCATCCTCGCCACGCTCGCCGTCCAGGTGCGCTCCCCGTTCAGATTTCTCTCACCTTCCTACGCTCGCGGTCAATGTGGGCTCTGCTATTCTTTCTTCCTCACATATCTTGCTTGGCCCCACCGTCAGATCCGTCGTGATGGTCGTTCACCTTTTCCTATCGACACCCTTCTCATTCCCTTCCTTTTCCTCGTCACGAAATTTGGCGATCTGCGCAAAACACACATCTGACTCATCGCGTAACGTGGTAACCGGATGTCGTGTTCCCCAGGTGGTGTTGCTAGGCGCGGTGGAGAGCTACCGCGTGGGCGGTTTGGAGGGGTTCCAGGAGATGGAGGATCCGATCTACCCGGGCGGCGCGTTCGACCCGCTGGGGCTGGCGGACGATCCCGACGCGGCGGCGGAGCTGAAGGTGAAGGAGCTCAAGAACGGCCGCCTCGCGCAGGTGTCGGCGCTGGGCTTCTTCGTGCAGGCCATCGTGACGGGCAAGGGGCCCCTCGAGAACCTCGCGGACCACCTCGCCGACCCCACCGCCAACAACGCGTGGGCGTACGCTCAGAACTTCGTCCCCGGCGCGTAGAGGAGTGGAGAGGGGTTTGATGAGCTTGGAGGAGGGTTTGGAGGAAGTTTGGGACCTCAGCTTGAGGCCTTTGAGGTGCCTAGATGTACAGCTGGTGAAGTTGCACATACCGTATCTGTACAGCTGTAAAGCCAGGATTTGTGTGTATGTATGTTTCTAGGTAAGAGTTATGTCTCTGAATCTTTGCAGCTCATTCTCAGATCCCACACAACACATCCCCATCACTAAGGCAAGCATGTCTCTGTCTAGATACCGTAGCTCTAAAATACAACCGGAAGAAGAGAGTGGAAATTATGAGCCTTCTTTTTACAATCTGATCCCGATCTGTGATGGTGGATGATTATCGCAAAATTTCATGATATCGAAGCTTGAGTGAAATTAAGTAGTACTTCTTGTTGTACACACTCACACACAACTTCTCTCAACTTCCGTCCCACACGACAGAAGCTCCAAACGAGTGACAGCTCACGCATTGATGCGTTTACCTAACTCTCTCACCCCCACATCCTCCGTCTCCTCCCCACCACACACCCAGTCATCCCCGCAATGCTCCACCCCCAGCCCCCCCCTCATGCGCATCACATCCTTGCTGAATGTCGACCGCGGGGTGCCCCAGAACACGTGCGCATGCACACACACCATCTTCTCCACCACGCTCCTCGTGCTGCTGTGGGCTATGATGCCCGCTGCCTGCAGCTCTGCTGCTCCTGGCGCCGCTGACTTGACACGAGGGTACTGAATAACAGCTAGCTCGCCCCACACTAGGGACTTGAGCATCTGGGAGAACCAGTGAAGCTCCTGAGGAAATGGGGGGAGAGGAAGGGGAGGGGAAGGGGAGAAGGGAAGAAGATGAACCTGCCTGCCCGCTGCATTCTGCATTGCAGCTCTACCCGTCTGATCGCATGCAAACCGTCTGATCGCATGCAAACCGTCTGATCGCATGCAAACCGTCTGATCGCATGCAAACCGTCTGATCGCATGCGAACCGTCTGATCGCATGCAAACCGTCTGATCGCATGTAAACTGTCTGATCGCATGCAAACCGTCTGATCGCATGTAAACCGTCTGATCGCATGTAAACCGTCTGATCGCATGCAAACCGTCTGATCGCATGCAAACCGTCTGATCGCATGTAAACCGTCTGATCGCATGCAAACCGTCTGATCGCATGCAAACCGTCTGATCGCATGCAAACCGTCTGATCGCATGCAAACCGTCTGATCGCATGTAAACCGTCTGATCGCATGCAAACTGTCCGATCGCATGCAAACCGTCTGATCGCACACACGAACCGTCAGATTGCACGCAGACCATCTGATCACATGCAAACTGTCTAATCGCATGCAGACCGTCTGGCTACGTTGCCAGATACGAGTATCGCGTATAATACGCTAGCGTATTATACGCTGGGTATATATGCGGTACGCTAGGGGTGGCGTACTCGTGATACGTAAAAATACGCTGGGCGGGCAGGTAAAACTTTTTTCCCGGGCAGGGCTAAAAAAAACCTGTTCAAGGGGGGGGGGGTTATGTTTCCCAAACACACATGTCATAATTTAATTTCATAAATATCCAGAGATACATCTTTGGGGCTACTTCTCCCCACCCCATACATCCCCACCCCACCCTCTAGCTAGCCTCCACACAGCCGAGTTCCTTGCGGGGCTTTTCCAACACCACCCCTGCCCCATACTCATCCGCCAGAACTGCATCCTCTCCTTCCGCCCCCAGCAGGTCATCCTCCTCCTCGTCCATGTTGTAGCCGCGAGGGATTGGGGCATCCGGGATGTTACCGGGCACAATCGTGCCGCCCCCATCCTTCTTGTACCAATTGCGCACAACGTTCCAGTTGTGCGCAATGTAGACGAGGTCCGCACACTTGGCGGACCCGAGGCGGTTGCGGCGGGCGGTGTGGACGCCTTCCCACTGCGCCCAGCCACGTTCGCATGGGGAAGCCGAGACGGGCTGAGTGAGAACCCGGCATGCGAGGGCGGCCAGCTCAGGGTACTCGGTGCTGTGCCACGACCACCACTGCACCATGCTCATCTCCCCCTTCTTCACTGCCTCCCTTGCAGATATGGCGCCCGGCGTGCCATAGCTGCCCTCCATGTTGATGTAGGCCAGCAATGCCTCTTGCAGCACAAGGGAGGCGCGGCGAGGGGCGCCATCCTTGCCACGCCTGAAGGTTTTGTTGTCGTAGTGGCGCTCGATGTAGGCCTTGAACACTCGCGTGCACTCCACATCGTTCCTGAAAATTCCCTCCACCTGGTTGACCGGATTCAGGATCCGGCCAACCACATGCATGGGGCAGGCAAGGGAGTTGTCCCACCTGTCCTTCACAATCTTGGTGATATCTACCTTCTCCGCCCAAGTCAAATAGTCGTCTGCCTCGTCCAACTTGTCATTCATGTCTTCGGTAAGCTGAAGCATGATAACATACATCTTCCCCATCATCCCCTTCGCCGAGGAGTCCGTGGCCCGCATGGCCTTGAACGGCACCGCCATGAGAGAGGTAAAAAACCCCGCCAGCCCCCACCACTCCTCATCCATCACGGCAGCCCTGAACATGTCGGCTACAATCTTCCTGTCCTTGTCCGCCGCTGTCCACTCATTCCACTCGTCGCTGAGAACCATCTTCGCCAGCCCACCCCTCACCTCGCATAGCCGGGCCAGAGCTATATACTGCGTCCCAAATCTGGTCCCCGCGGGCTTAAGCACCTGTTTCCCCCCACCCTTCTTCATGTATGCACGAGTGAAGTGGTGGTTGCGCACAAAGTTTATCATCATCCCCCCCTTCTCCACGAGCCCCTTCGCCCATCCCATCTTGCCCACGTCTTCCATCATAAGGTCGAGGACATGCGTGGCACATGGCACATGCTCAATGTGCGGCCATGTGCTTGCAATTTTCCTGGCTGCCGAGGCATAGTTGCTGCCCCCATCGGTGCAGATCGCCACCACATTCTCCGGCCCCACCTTATCAATCACGGGGCGGAGAAGGCTTGCGATGTAACCCCCGGTCTTCGACTCCATGTGGCAGTCGACCGCCTGCTCGAAAACTGCGCCGGAGTCGTTGACAAGGAGCACGTTGGCCTGCGGGCGGCCACAACGGTCAGTCATCATGTCCGACGACACGGTGACCCCGTCACGCTTCCAGCTCGCGGCAACGGGGGCGAGCGCCTCCTCCAGTTTCTGCCGCACCTTCTTCAAGCCCGCCCCTCCAATGAAGTGCCTATTGGGGGGGACGTACCCTGGTCCAGCGCGCGCAATGCACTGGACTGCGTAACGGAACACCGGGTCGTCCGCGATGCGCTCGGGAAGTCTCAACGCCGCGATAAAAAAGCAGAGGGCGTTATCCGCGTCCTCCTTGGCGCATGCTGCCTCATCGCCGAAGAAGGACGTAATCTTCCCCTTCTTCTCTGAAGAACCAGTGACCGCGCCCAGCGCGGAGTCAATTGCTGCAGCGGCCGCCCCTCGTTTGACGCCCTGCTTTTCCGCCTTCTCCTCGTACATGCCGCGCACTTCTTCACTGACTGCCGGGGACACCTTCTTGCAAAGCCGGACAGGGCGTCCACCCTGCCCTTTCCATTTCGCCAGGTGAATCGCGCAACGAGTGGTTCCGCCCTCAAACGTGAAGTCACAAAACTTACACATCTTGGGAGTGCCTTTGGTATGGTACGGAATAAGGAAATGTTTCAAAATGGGGTTCGAAAGGCCAGCCTCAACAGGCTCCGTATTGATTTCGCTATTGGACTCGTGAACAGAGGCAACATTGCTCGTCGCAGTAGGAGGGGTGGAGTTAGACGCCATGAGGAAAAACGGGAGAAGAGAGCTACGGGAATGAAAACGACTACGGAAACTGAATGACAGAAAGGAACTCGTCATTCAGTATATGAGCAGACGAGTTGCTGAACAACATTTGAGAGGGATGGTTGGAGATGAGAGGTTTGGTGGGGTGGTGTGTGGTTGGGGTGGTGGTGGGAGGTTTGGAGCTCAAAATTTGAATTTCAGAAGTGGGTTGGGCGATGTGCGACTTTGCGGTAACAAATCGCGAAGTCGCAAAACATTCGCGAAAATTTTCAATTTCGATTTTCTTTTTTCGGCGGGCTGCCCGGGCGTATTTCCAAGAAATACGAGCGTATTAGCGTATCACGTATGTACGCAAGCGTATATACGTGGTACGCAACCCTGCCCAAGGCGTATCTGCCAACGTAGCCGTCTGGTTCCTGCTATGGCTTGCTCTCACCTGATCGGTTGTAACTGTCGCTTAAAAAAGAGTCCGCACTTGATGCTGCTGCTGCTGCCACTCCATTCCACCTGCCCTTACCCACTCCTCCCCTCCAGCACCGGAAGCCCGGCCTCAGCCAGTGCGTCGCTCTCTCTCACCTGGTCAGTGGTGTCTGTTGCGACGAAGAGTGTCCTCAAAGGTTGGTGCTGCTGCTGCTGTTGTTGCCGCTGTTGTTGTTGTTGCTGCTGCTGCTCCATCCCACCTGGCCTTACCCCTTCCTTCCCTCCAGCAGCAGCAGCAGCAGCATTGAGGGCATTGATTCGATCAGCCACGCATCTAGCGATCTGAGACAGTGGTAACCAGCACCGGAAGCCCGGCCTCAAGCAGTGCGTCGCGAAATCCGTCCGTCGCAGGTGCAGGGCGGCGAAGCGTGTGCCGAGCACACGCCGCGCGAACGCGTGCAGCGGAGAGGGCGGCGGGATGCGGACGCATGGCGAGGCGACAGGGCGGCAGGATGGGGACGGCACCGTTGAGACCATCGTACAGACCCGGCAGACCGTCTGAACTCGCGTGACCTTCAGTCAGCAACTCTGCCCGCAAGCTGTCCACTCCCCCCAGATCCTCCCCCACCTTCCCCACCTCCCCCATCTCCTTCCCCATCTCCCCCATCTCCCCCATCTCCCCCATCTTCCCCACTTCCTCCCTCACTTCCCCCACATCCACCTTCCCCGTGACCTCAAAGACGTCTCCCAGCCCAATGACCTCCTCTGTGCGAGGGCCAAAGAAGGAGAGGAACTGGCGGAGAGTCACGTTGGCGGCAGGGATGGGGGGCGCCGTACAGATGCTGGCGAGATGGGCCGGGTTGTTGATATTGGCTTCACTAGCAGCAGCAGCAGCAGCAGCAGCAGCAGCAGCAGCAGCAGCAGCAGCAGCAGCAGCAGCAGCAGCAGCAGCAGCAGCAGCAGCAGCAGCCGCACCACCACCACCACCACCACCACCACCACCACCACCACCACCACCACCACCACCACCGTCACTCTGATTGGCACCGGCATCAGGATCACCACCAAAGGAGACGCCATCATCATCATCATTATGGGGTAACAGCTTTGCCCATGGTGCCTCGCGAATAAACCGCTGACACGTGGCGCGCACGGATTCGCCGCCGTGCCACCACCACCACATCTTCACATCCACCTCCCTCCTCCTCCCCCTCCCCCTCTGATTCCACAGCCTCCCCATCCGGTCCATCCACCCCTCTCCACCGCTCCCAACCCCCTCGCCTCTGAGGTATGCGTCCACAGTGAGCACTCGCCCCTGCCCCACACACTGCTGCAGGCCTGCCACGTCCAGAGCCACTCCCAGGTCCATCCACTCTGGCGGCGCACCTGATAAAACACCTGATAGTACACCTGACGGTTTTGCCACACCTGATGCTCCAAGTGCCCTCCTATCAGGTATATTGGCAGCAAGATAACCCCTGATCTGAGACGACCCAGACCTTCTCTCTCTGCCCACAAGCCGCCTGCGCATGTAGCTCTGCACTCTCGAGAGGGGTAAGCCGCTGACTGATGCGTCGGGGAGTGAGTGTGGAGAGGTGCTGAAGAGAAACGAGGAGCGCGAGGAGGAGGAGGGAGAGGAAGAGAAGGAGGAGGAAAGCGAGGAGGAGGAGACGGAAGAGGAGAGGGGCAAGGAGGAGGAGCGCTTATGTGTGAACCATGCCCCCTCATTCCGAGAAGCACCACCACCAGAGGCGGGTTGCACAACTGGCAGCAGGAGAGAGCGGTTTAGCAGAGCTGCAAAGGCGAGGTACCTGAAGAGGAAGGGGAGGGAGGAGGGGAAGGAGGGTTTAGCAACGGAAGAGCCAGCAGAGCTTGTCCACGTGGCTCCCTTGCCTGAGCCCATGGTGGAGCACCAGCAGGAGAGGCGGGGTGCACTACTGGCAGCAGCAGAGAGCGGTTTAGCAGAGCTGCAAAGGCGAGGTACCTGGAGAGGGGCAGGGGGGAAGAAAGCAAGGGATTGATGGGGGAGGAGGGACGAGAGGGAGGCGGGAAAGAAAATCACGGAGAAAGGCGGGGCAGGAGAGGGGAGGGCAAGGGAAAGGCAGCCAACGGACAGAGGGGAAAGGTTGCGAGGAGGAATAAAGAGGCGGTCGCAGGAAGAGGAGTGAGGGTGACGGCAAGGGAGGGAGTACCCACCTTCGAATGCAGAGCAGGTGGTTGGAGGTGCGGCCATGTGTGCATGTGGCAAGCAGGTAGCGGTGGGGGTGGGGGTTCCAGGGGATGAGGCGGGGGGGAGGGGGGAAGAGAGAAGCAGAGATGGGGGAGAGGGAGTGGGTTGCCGGGTCGGTGCGACAGATGGGGGGTAGGTGTGAGGGAGTGAAGTGAGAGAGGAGGAGGGAGAGGTGGGGAGGGAGGGTAGTGGTGGGTGAGAGAGGAGGAGAGGAAGAATCGTTGCGAGTGGTATTGAGTGCCTGAGTGGGATGGGGGAGGGCGAGGAGGTGGGGAGGGTGAGGGAGAGGGTGAGGGAGAGGTGAGGGGAGCGAGCAAGAGGTGGGGAGGGAGGGTATATGGGTGAGAGAGGAGTGGTGGGGGAGAAGGGGCTGTAACGTCAACAGACGAGGAGGAGGAGGGAGCAGGAAAGTTGGATGGGGGAGGGATGTAGGAGAGAGCGGAGTGGTGGAGGAGGGATTGTGAAGTCAACAGTGTAGTGGAGTTAATTCACAGCCTGATGACGATGGAGGGGTACGTAAGCCAGGAGAACAAGTAAAATATGGGACGAAAAAGAGATGAAAAGAAAATAAAAACATTCCAGGTGAATTATTACTTGGAGCAGAAGTCATTACAGGGACAGGAGTGGGGGAACAACAAAGAGCAGGACTCAATACAACTTTGGAATCTCACCTGCTCAGACTCATCCTCTTCCACCACCATCTCTCTCCCTGCTTCACTTCCCCCCACGCTGCTGCCTCTAGCACCACCGGCAACAGCAGCAGCGCCAGCAGTATCCACCCACGATGGTAAATCATCCTCCTCTTCCCCCCTCCCACCTCTCCCCTCCCTCTCCCCTTCTCCCTCCTCCTTTTCCTCAGATACCCCCCTCCCTTCACCCATTCCCTCCCTCTCATGCTGTAAGCTCTTCAGCATCGCCTCCACTGTAGCTATCCTCGTTTTAAGCATGCGCTCCAAGCGAATCAGCCCAGCAGCAGGAAGAGCCATGCTGGACTGCCTCTCATCAGTATCAGCTGAACGCGAGTCTGTGCTGCTGCTGCTGCTGCTGCTGCTGCTGCTGCTGCCCTCTTCCACTCCTCCTGCTGCACTGTTCAGGCGAACGGGAGGGAACACGGCACGGCACCACCAACCAGGCAACAGGGCGACACATACATACAAAGGTGGTGAGGTGAGGTGACACATTGAGCCGACATGCACACACACACACACCTCCCACCGAGTCAGCCCATACCTATTCCCAAGCCCCGTGCTGTCTCATCCACCAAGTTGACTTTTGAGTCGACTCAAAAGTCAACTCTATTCCCAAGCCCCTTGCTGTCTCATCCACCAAGGGGGGACGGTTTAATCTCACCTCTCTGCACCGACTCATGCCATGCTTCGTGCTGCTGCTGCTCCTGCTGCTTTTCTTGTGGTTGCTGCTGTAACAGCAGTTTGGAGTGCTCATTGCAGTCGCGTGCAGCAGGAGGGGTGGTACCCGAGGTAGCCCGGTTGGGCCTGAAGCCGACTCCCGACCAGAGCAAGTAGGCCTGAGCGGAAAGGGGGACGAGGGGAATGAGGGGCCGGGGAGGCATCAAGGTGTGCATCAACACAGTCGCCTGCAGCAGGGCGGGTGGTGCCCGAGGTAGCCCTAAGCCCTGTTGGGCCTGAAGCCGACTCCCGACCAGAGAAAGAAGGCCTGAGCGGAGGGGAGGGGACAGTGAAGGGGGGGGGTTAAAAATACTTCTATTGGGGCACGTCAAAACAGGCACCTGCACCACCAGGGGGGTAGCTCCATGCCTCAATTCAAATTGTCTTGGAAGTCATTTTCGATTCAAAGGTCCCAACTTTGAATCGACGTCTTTTATTGGGATGACTCTAACCAGTCACCTACACCAAGGAGGGAGGGGTGGGGGGGGAAGGTACCCAGGCCCGATGCTTGTAAATCTGTAGCTTTACCTGTTTGTCCCTATGCTGATTCTCAACTAAGGGAAGCGAACCTCTGAAGAGCCTTTTCAAAGCGAGCCGTTGAAGAGGTGGAGAATGAAGAGGGGGTTGGGGAGAGTGCGGGGGGAAGGGGAGGAGATGAGAGAGGAGGGACGATTGCTTGGTTGATGACCTTACTAGAGATCGTAACTGGAGTTGTAATTTCGATGGTCTTTCATCCAAACACTCTCATCCGAACCCCTCTCTTTCACTCGCATCCAATACCCTGCATCTATCTCTCTCTCTCTCCCTCGTCCGATCGTCTTACCTGCGAGAGGCAGACGAGCAGCAGCAAGAGGTGGACAGAGCGACGCATGAGCGCCGCGAAAGAAGGACGCCATGGACGCATCATGAGAAACATTGCTTCTCCGTGCGGGAAGTGCAAGAAGGGTACGAGATAGAATGAGTTAGATAGAATAAGGACGTAGAAATGTGGACCGAAGGCGTGGATGGGGTCAGCGCAGCAGGTGTGAGGATTCTAACGTCTACTAGGCTGGGTCGTAGAAAGTCAATCCGGCGTCGCGGAAGCGCGAGGCGCAGCAAGAGTTCCTAATTTCCTGCTTGGGGGATCAGCGCAGAAAATAGCGACAGATCTTGGCACGGTCTCGCAACGAAGACCACAGCACCTCGCGTTGCTGTCTCCATAAAGGTTGAATGACAATATCGAGGAAATGCAAGCTCAGGGACTGGGGATCAGCAAAATCAGGGGTCAGATTGTGGATCAAGTCGCTACAGTACCACATTGCATACACGCTAAACCGCTTCGAAACCAACTGAAACGTGTGCGTCTTCCTCGCGAGTGGCGATTACGACAGTTTCTTCTGCGCGCGAAGAGATGCGTTGCTTTCGTCATCTGTTTTCGAAATTGTCGTGGCATGGCTTGTGCTGCTCGAGGATTCTGCGAAAGTCGTGAAGAATTCGCAACTTCCACGCACATTTGTTCTTTCAACGGTTACTCGAGGAACACCTTAGCAAGCAGATATCATAACAGGTAAAATCCAGGAGTAGTCTGCTCTGTGATGCGGCTGAATTTGGTGAGTGGCATGGCTTTCCTGCATCTGCACTTTGGTCAGTGACACAAACGGAGCAGGCATGATTTCCCCCAAGTTATAATTAGTGCCGAGACCGCGTAATATCGCGGAGAAAACCGCGACGCCGTATTATTATGACATCTAGTCTGCGTTATGCATACTCATGCTGTAAATGTCATGACTCGCGGGGTTCCTGTTATCTACCAGCAGCACCTCTCTCAATGGCGGCGACTTTCGCGAATTCGCGAAACTCGAGTGCTTCGCGGGATTCGACGCCCGATCGGGACACCTTCGAGGCGCCAAGACAACTTACGCCGGAGTCTATCATCCCGTCCCTCCGCTCTCCGTGGCTCACATTATTCGCGTTGCTGCTGGTGCTGTCCTTGGAACTATCGCTGGGCGATGACGTGTCGAACTGTGATTCGCTGGTTAGTGGTTACGATCCATCCATCGTTCCTTCAACCCGCTTTTCTTCGTCTCCTTCTCTTTCCTTTCGCCATTTCTGCTTCCCTGCTCTCATCCCTCTTTCCCTCTGCTTTCCCCCTTTTCCCTTCTCTCGGCCCGGGTAACCTTCGCCATAAGCCGTTCCTCCTTTCGTCTCTCTTCTTCCTACATGCTCCTCGCTGCGAGCGGGCCGAGAACGGAACACCTCTTACTTTTTTTGAAAATTTACGCCGCTTTTCCCGTTCCCATTCTCAACCCCACCCCCTTCCCATCCCACCTCTCCCCCCCTTCCTCCCCCCACTTTCCGTCGCTTTCATCCCCTCTGCCTCCTCCCATTTCCCCTCGCTCCCATCTCCCCTCCTCTCCCATCCCTATCCTCTCTCCCCCTTCTTCCCATTTCAAGCCTTGTTTCTCTCTCCCCCTTCTTCCCATTTCAAGCCTTGTTTGTCTCTCCCCCGTGTCAATCTATCCATCAGGTTCTTTCCTCCCCTCCTCTCACATCCACCCGCCCTACCGCCCCCTCCCACTCAGGGTTCTTTCCTCCCCTCCTCGCGCCTCGCCCCCTCCTCCCACCTCCGCTTCGGGTTTCCCGAGCACCTCTGTGGCGACTGGTGGAAGGAGTACGTGAAGCTGCATGCAGGCATGAGGGAGGAGAGCAGACTGCAGCACGCACAGGCACAATCCCAAGCCCAAGCCCAAGCACAAGCACAATCCCAGGCCCAGGCAGGTGTGGCAGTTGCTACTGCTGCCGATGCCACTGCGCCTGCTGCTGCTGCTGCAGCTGCTGCTGCCGCCTCAGCTCCTCCCCTCTCACCACCACCCCTCCCCTCCTCCTCCCCCTCCCCTCCCCCTCTCCGCTTTCTCACCTACGAGGTCCTCTTCGGGTGTGGGGGGTTGGGGGACGCTCTGATTGGCCTAGCCGCCGCGTTCACTGTAGCACTTTTGGACGGACGTGCCCTGATTCTCAACCATCCGTGCCTGCCGCAAGCCTTTGACCCCGCCCACGTTGACTGGCGGTTGACCGACGATATCCCCATGGAACCTTCCAGGAAATACACGTACGTTCCGCCTCCTGACGTCGGCCCTTCTGCTGCTAGTTCAGCAGCAGCCGCTGCTGGTGCAGGTCCGGCTGGTGCTGCTGCTGCTGCTGCTGCTGCTGAGAGTGAGCGAGCAAGTGCAGGAGGGAGTGGGACAGGCAGTGAGGCAGGGGGGGAGCCGGCAGAAGCAGCAGTGCAGGCAGGGGAGGTGATTCGGGTGAACCTGAAGAACCGCGATGTGGACTTGCAGCCGCTCTTCTCCCACCTCGCCTCCGCCGCCAACATCCTTCTGCGCTGGAACCGCGGCGTGCTCACTCGGCTCTTCCTGGAGGCTTATAGCGTGGACAGGGAGACTTATAATGGGGATGGAGGAGGGGGAGAGGCGGGGAGAGGGACGGAGGGAGAGTGGGGGATGAGGGGCAGCAGACAGTGGGCTTTAAGGTTGAGGAATATGGGGCTCAGGCTGCCCCTTGCAACGGGATGTTTTCTGCGCTTCCTTCTCAGGTGCTTACTCAGGTGCCGTTTCAGGTGGGGTGGTGGCAGCAGAGAGTGGGCTTTGGGGTTCGGAGGGGATTGGGGCTCGGGCTGCCTCTTTCAGTGGACTGTTTTCTGCTCGTCCTTCTCCGGTGCATGCGTCTCAGGTGTCGCCGTGGGTGCATGACTTGGGTAATTGCCTCGGGTAATTGCCTCGGGTGATTGCCTCGGGTGATTGCCTCGGGTGATTGCCTCGGGTGATTGCCTCGGGTGATTGCCTCGGGTGATTGCCTCGGGTGATTGCCTCGGGTGATTGCCTCGGGTGATTGCCTCGGGTGATTGCCTCGGGTGATTGCCTCGGGTGATTGCCTCGGGTGATTGCCTCGGGTGATTTCCTCGGGTGATTGCCTCGGGTGATTGCCTCGGGTGATTGCCTCGGGTGATTTCCTCGGGTGATTGCCTCGGGTGATTGCCTCGGGTGATTGCCTCGGGTGATTGCCTCGGGTTATTGCCTCGGGTTATTGCCTCGGGTGATTGCCTTGGGTGGTTGCCTCGGGTGATTGCCTCGGGTGATTGCCGCGGGTGATTGCCGCGGGTGATTGCCTCGGGTGATTGCCTCGGGTGATTGCCTCTGGTGATTGCCTCGGGTGATTGCCTCGGGTGATTGCCTCGGGTGATTGCCTCGGGTGATTTCCTCGGGTGTTTGCCTTGGGTGATTGCCTCGGGTGATTGCCTCGGATGATTGCCTCGGGTGATTGCCGCGGGTGATTGCCTCGGGTGATTTCCTCCGGTAATTGCCTCGGATACTTGCCTCAGATGAATCCCTCCCCTCATGGCATTCTCACAAAACCCTATAGTTCTGTCTGCCCCCACTTCCGCATGCACCCCAACTCTATCGCTTTCTGTTCCTCTATACTTCCATCGGCCCTTCTCTCCCCTCCCCTCTTCCTCCTCTTCCCACTCCCAACCGCACCTAGCCTCCAGACCAAAGCCTGAGGTGTGGCAACTCATCCGACCGTTCGATCAGCAGCTGAGGGGCGATCGGACGGTCGTGATTGGTCTGCACATCCGGTTCGAGGACAGGGCAGTGTGGGGTGAGGGAGGGGAGGGCGCACCCTTATCACTCTCAGAGGAGCGAGTGAGGGAGATGGTGGAAGAGGTTCGACCCACTCTTGAATGTGCCAAGGTAAGGAGAGGGATCACAGGAGGCAGAGTCAAGAGGGGCTAGAGGAAGGTGCACCTTTATCACTCTCAGAGGAAGGAGTGAGGAAGATGGTGGAAGAAGTTAAACCCACTTCTGAGTGTGCAAAGGTTAGGAGGGGGTTCACTGGAGGGCAAAGAGGGTCAGTGGTAGGTGAGAGGGAGAGAACGGAAGGATGGAGAGGGGGTGCTTTTATCACTCTCAGAGGAGCGAGTGAGGGAGATGGTGGAAGAGGTCAAACCTGCACTTGAGTGTGCCAAGGTAAGGAAGGGGTCGTAGGGGTCGGGATCAAGAGGGTTGAGAGGAGGGCACGCCCTTATCACTCTCGGAGGAGCAAGTGAGAAAGATGGTGGAAGAGGTTCGATTCGACCCACTCTTGTGTGTGCCAAGGTAAATAAGGGGTTTGTGGGAGGTAGAATAACAGGAGGGTGAAGGGGGAAGAGGGGCAATGATGGAATGGAAAGAGGAAAGGGTGTCTATATATCACTCACTAGATAACGAATGAGGGAGATGGTGGACAAGGTCAAAGCCACTTGCAATTGTGCCAAGGTGAGAAAGGGGATTATTCTCGGGATGAAGATGGGAGACTTTTCACGGGACGGCTCACGCACCTGTGTGACTCTCTTCGAATCGAGTGAGGTAGGAGAGCGTGGAAGAGTGTGAGAAGAACCATCTCTCGCGATTGTAAGGTGAGGGGTTCACTGAAGGGGAAGGGAGGAGACGAAGCTGGTCCATAATATCCGTCCATCAATTGCTCCTTCCCTTGTTCCCCCTCCCCGCCACCACCCTGCTTTCTCCCTCCCACCTCGCTCATCGCACACAGCGAGTGCAGAAATGGAACATCACTCCATCCTAGCTAACATCGCTAGTGTCGCTAACATCACCCCCTGCATTGCTCATTCCCTCTCCCCTCTCTCTACCCCCACAGCGAGTGTAAGAGTGGCACATCCCGTAACTCCTTCTCCCATTCCTCTCTCGAGCAGTGCTTGTCATTGAATACAAGAGGAACAACACTCTCTCTCCCCTCCCTCCACACACAGCGAGTGCAGGAGTGGCATATACCCTCCTCCCTCTATGTCAAGTGGTTGCTTCTCTGCAACTCCATGCAAGTCAAGCACGCAGTGAGCAGCAGCAGGGGGATAATTTTTCTCACCTTACTCTCTCTTTCTCCCTCCCGCCCTTCAACCCCACAGCGAGTGCAGGAGTGGCATATCCCCTCCTCCCTCCCTGTCAAGTGGCTGCTGCTCTGCAACTCCATGCAAGTCAAGCACGCCATTCGCGAGAAGTACCCAGACAAGGTGAGGCATTTGCGAAAAATACCCCGATAAGGCAAAGGCGTTCGCAAAGAAAACCCCGGTAAGGTAGAGTCATGAGTCAAAACAGACACTTGAGAACTCACTCTACATCACCTCAACAGCCTCTTCCCACTTATCCATTGCCCCCCCATTCCCTCCTCTCCTCCACTCCTTCCTCTCCCTCCTCTCCCTCACCTTCCTCTCCGTCCTCTCCCTCCTCACCTTCCTCTCCCTCCTCTCCCTGCTCTCCGTTCCTCGAGCCCATAGCCTAGTGGTTGCTGCCAGCCTCTCCCGTTTCTTCATCAGCATCGCTTGCCCCATGTCCCTTTTCCCCTGTCTCCCTTCCTCGCCCACAGGTGGTAACCACCAACTTCACTCCTCGCCACGCCAACAGCATGAGTGGGGAAGACACCACCATGCAGCCCTCCTTGTCCACCTCCTCTCCCTCCTCTCCCTCCTCTCCCTCCACTCCATTCCTCGAGCTCATAGCCGAGTGGTTGCTGCTAGCCTCCTCCCAGTTCTTCATCATTCCCAACTCTGGCTTCTCCCGCACGGCGCTGCTCTACTCCATGCATCCGGCAGGATCCGCTTTTATGCCACCGGATAACTGCTTCCCTGACGTGCCTGTTAACCTCACATGGCTGGGGACCACGTGGAGCAGAATATGATGCTGCGTGCAATGCCCAAAAAGCTTCTTGTTCCTGATTTTATTTGGTTGTCAGCCCTAATCCGGCCGTATCCTGGATGGCTCTGACATATTTTCAATGCACCCAACAGGCTCTTCCTTCATGGTTTTGGGCTGAGAAAAGCCCCTAGGATCGATTTCAAGACTCAAGTCTCATAGTACCGTATACTCCCGGACAAAACACCCCCCCATAATTGTACACCCCCGGGTAGCTTGTGCGGGGTGGGTGTTATGGGGAGCCTCGTTTCTACTATACCCCCCTTTTTTGCTGATTTTCTATAACACCCCCCTTTTCTTACGAATTCGTTATAATAGTCGTTAACGAGTAGCTGCAATATTGAAGAATATCGCGAAAATTTATCCCTAGATGAAATTTCGCGGTACATTCACTTACAATCTACCGAGATTTCCCCCCTCGCACTACTTCGCTGTAACCACGTGCAGGCGAATCTTCCGCTGCAAGTGGCAAGAGAGGTGCCACATGGCATTTTCGTGGGGGTGATGAAGCTCGTGGCCGAAACCCACATTCGCGCCTCAGACAGTGATGTTAAAATGAAAATCAAAACACCCACATTGTCTAATTAAATAAACACTAACACTAAAATATACCATATGTAAAGACCCAGGTATTATGTATTTTTTTCCTATGAGGAGACCCCCCCCATTTTTTCCCTGTATTTTTAGCTATACCCTAGGGTGCTATGTCCGGGAGAATACGGTAGTGATGTATTCGCGGAAGCATAATAGTGAACTAATTGAACCACCTTGCACTGGTATGTGAGAACAACATAAGTTGATAATAGCAAAGAGATACAAAGCTTTATATGATTACAAAGGAATGTGAAAGGTTTCAGTAACTTTAACTGCTGTTGCGGTTCGATACAGCGACGACTCGGGTAACTGCTCAATAGCAGGCCCCCAGAAGTCAGCAAAATTTCGCTGATTTGCCTTAAAAACTCTGATTTTCCAGCCTTTTTTTTGTTGTAATGCTGAAAGTTCAGGTTTTTTTTTTTTTGTAAACTCTGAATGTTCAGGATTTTCTTATAAGGGGAGGCTGTTTTTTCAGCTTTTTTTTTGCACTGTACTCTGATGCGTCAGACTAGAAACGCGAACCAACGCTGAATTCTAGAACCCGAGATCTGCGGGGATTGCCGTGATCACCGCTCCATTTACATTATCGTTCTGTCAAGCCCGCCAGTACAGCAAATACAGCCAATATTTGGCGGGCAGCGACGTGGTGCGGCGCGGTTCGTTCCCCGTTGGCAATAGGTCACACAAACGTGAGTTGCCGATTGGTTGAGAAGGCAGCTTTCGACAGCGCACTCAACCCTCTTCCTGAACTTGAACGTTCTGTACAGCCTTGTGCAGCCACACGACACTGCACACACCAGCGCAGCGCTAGCTGCGCCTCGTAGATGCCGTGCATGGTAGGCAAAGGGGCACCCACGGGTTGGGGTTTCTTGATGTTCGAAGGGGCCATAATCTCCATCGCTTTCATACATCCCGTACCAAGCCTCTTCCAGGCTGATTTTTGCGTGAGTGTCTGGGCTTCCTCATTTCTGCTCGGCACGCTCCCAGGCGAACGTTATGGCTGTTCAGGAGGGCCTCGTGGCTGATGACGAGGATGACGATTGTGAAACCACGCTCGAAGATGCTAGAACAGGGTTAGATCTACTGCTTAGGTCTCTAGCTCGCGATAAGGGGCCACGTTCCCCACCTGTTGCTAAGTCGACCCCAGACACCTTCCACCCGTCGACTTGAGCGAGGCTGATTCTATCGATGCTATGCCCCTCGAGCCTACTGTTGTGTCTGCTCCACACAACAACACAGTGACCCCCACTCCTAAGGATGTGGCACGCAACATCCGAGTGAAGCAAGCAACGCTCAGCTTCGGGAAGTCTTCGGCAACCACTGATGGCGACAACAACCGGGCTGGGCCGTCTAACCTGGAAAAGCTGCGGTGGAAACTCAACCTTGCTCAGCTCATTGACGATGTGTATGAGGATGCGTACGAGAAGTGGCTTGCAACGTGGTCGAGTCGGTTTCCTTGGCTGGTTCTAACTAAAACCGCGGCCGGTTTGCCTGCCTTTAAATGTAGTGTTTGTGCAGCCCACGCTGGTGATGCAGGCAAGTGCGGGAGGCGCGGCAAGGGGGCCACGGACGTTCAGACTCAAGCCTCTGGAAAGCACGTAGGAACTCAAACGCACAAGCTGGCGATGGCGAAATACACCGCGCTTGTGGACGGCGACAGCAGGCAACCACGCATCGATCAACACAGGGCGGCATGCGACGAGGATAAGCGGCGCATCGTCGCCCTGCTGGACTCCTTGCTGTTTGTCAGCAAGTGTGACGCGCCCATGGGACTGTGGGTGAAATTGGTGCGCTACCTGGCGGAGAAGGGTGTGAAGGGCTTCCCCAAGAAGGGTTACGGGACGTACTACACCACGTAAGCTCTTCGTTTTAGTCGCACAAACCTGGGATCTTGTTTCTGTTTTTTTTTTTTCACCATGCGTGACCTTAACTGATCATGTTGTTGCCTTGTTATCCTGGTACGGTTTCGGGGAGCTTACACAAGCGACGGCAACCTCGCTGCAAACGCCCCAGATCGCGCAAGTGCTGGCCAGCCCCTTCGTCGGGATCTCTGTCGATGAAAGCACCGACCGCTGCAGCGGGAAGCATCTAATTCTCTATGTCACTTTCATTCGAGACGACAGCGTGGTCACCGAGTTCATGGCACTCCTGACCGTGGAGAAGGCATATGCGGCATCGTTGCTGAGCCTCCTGCTGTCGCATGTACAGGCCATCGGCATTGATCTCCGCCGGATTGCTGGGATCAGTACCGATGGGGCGAATGTCATGATGGGCTGCAATTCGGGGCTTGTGACGCGCCTCCACCTGCGCATACCTCACCTGGTGACCACACACTGCATCGCTCACAGGTAATGTCTTTTTCATTGTTGTTTCTTAAAGATGTTTCTAATGACTAGTTTTATAACAACACTGTTTTTGTGTGCATCTACAGAGAGGCCCTTGCTGCCAAGGACGCTTCTGACGATATCCCAGACTTCAAGATTGTTGACAAGGTCATCCGAAACGTGGCAGAGCATCTCAGGCGTTCGGGGCCCTGGCACCAGTGCTTCCTCGACCTCCAGGAGGTGTTCACATCGACGTCCCTTGAGCTGCAGGGCATACATGCCGTGTGGTGGCTTTCGCGGGGAGACGCCGTCCTTCGGTTTCTAGGCGTCTTGCCAGCCGACATTGTCATGCTCAAGGAGTATGACAAGAAAATGTTTGCCCTAGTGTCGAGCTACCGTTTCCATTTCCTCTTGAATTTCATCGCCGACGTGCTTGAGCAGCTCAACATCCTCAACCGCGCGTTCCAGCACAAGGAGGTAAAGATGCTTTACAATCTGTTGTTACTTCGGTTTAGGGATCTCTACTGTGAGTGTTCTCTACTGACTCTGTTCCTCTGCCCCTCTGTGCCATCTATATCCCGTCCCTCCAGCTTGATTATGCTTCTCTCCATGCACAGATCAAGCGGACTACCTTCCACATCGAGAGCCGCTACGTCGACTGTGGGGACGACTTCGGTGGAGGCATGAGTGCGCGGCTCTCTCCACTCCTGACGCAACATGGGCCGGGAGGGACGAGGGAGATGACAGTTGCCGGCATCGACTCGGACGGAAAGCCAACGGAGTTCTCGTTCGTGCTTCACGAGGACCCAATGGAGGAGTTCGGCGGGCGTGGAACTCACGACGGATGCGTCGACGTCTGTACGGCGTTCGCAGAGATGATCGTCAGCAACATCCACGGAAGGTTAGGCGACTTGGAGTCGCTGTCAGGGTCGAGACTGTTCATGCCTGACTCTTGGCCTCTGGACCGTGGCGAGCGTCACGCACGGTGTGTCGAGTGGCTGGAGTCCTTGATCACACTGTTCAAGGCTGAGATGAACGACGACAACTTGCCGGGTAAGCCAGTTAATGATGTAACTAGCGTTCAAGCACTGATGACGTAATTGATTGCACGGTGTTATCCTCTGCTCCCTCTTTATATACGTCCGTGACCGTACTCCAATTAACCTCATATACAAATCCCTCGCCCCCCTCCCCTCCCCCCCCGGCAGGTATCAACAAGCGCCGCGCTGTGAAGGAGCTGCGGATGTTCACATCCGTGCTTGCGTCAGCCCACAAGACCGAGCGAAGTTTCCATGCTGGCCTCACAGCTATGCTGAAGACACCAGACTGGCGGGATAACTATCCCAACCTGGTGCAGCCGTGGGTGGCCGTTGCAGTTCTCCCGCTCAGCACTGTTGAGTGCAAGCGCGGCTTCTCCAGGCAGAACATAATCAAGTCATGGCAGCGGGGTTCACTGAAGGATGCAAGGTTGGGCGACCTCATGTGCATGAGCCTAATGAGCTACGAGCAAAACTGGGATGAGATTGTTGGCATTTGGAGGAGCTACAAGAAGCGCAAGCCCCACAGCAATGCCCCTATCTTTGCAAGACAGCAGCAGAGCAGGAAGGGAAAGGAGCAGTCAGCAGATGCAGAGATGGTAGACCTAGATGATGTATTTGATGATGCTAGTGATGATGATGCTGATGATGAGACTGCTTGAAATGTTGTGCTTAGATTTTTGAAGGTTCTATATATTGACTATGTTGCAGGAAAATAGGGCCTAAACCAAGATCCACAACTATAGTAATACCAGTTATCAACACAACCAGCCTAAAAAAATTTGTAACTCTGATTGTTCAGCCTTTTCTGGTGGCAGTACACTGAAATTTCAGCTTTTTATTTTTTCCAAGTCTGATCAATCAACCTAAAACTACGTCACAAGACTGACGAATCAGACAGGCCAAAAACGAATCTGAGGGCCTGCTCAATAGTGAGTCAGATATGTGTCCTTGTTGTCGCGCTGCTTTTCGGCGAGTCAAGGTCGCTGACCATTGACCTTCACTCAACCTCTTCCTGTTGTCTTTCTGTC